TGCTCTGTGCTTCCTGTCCTAGGATAATTAGTCAGAACTGTGAAGCCATTTTCAAGTCTGATTTCTCTTTGGCCCAAAATGCAAACCAGACTGGTCTTCCGAAGTCAGGTTCTTACTTTTTTTCATTTTTGTAGGAAGCATATAAAATCACTTTTTGATGAGGAGTTTAGTTTTCTCAGACTGTGTAGTGCTGCAATCCACTGTTCTGGAAATTCGAACTGAGGAAATACGGTTGAACAGAAAAATCACCAGTTGAAAGCTTGTCATATGTTTTGTCATCAAATATATATATATAAAGGCATTTTATCCTTGTAAAAACTAATGTTACCTCACTTTCACATTTTATATTATTTATAGTGATTATTTAGTTCTATTCATAGTCGAGGCACATTCTGCCAGGCATTCCACATGGGTACAGTCCCAGTGAAAATGCTAGAAGCTGTACACCTATTTCTAAGGGTACACGTGCTTCTAAGATCGGAACTCATCTGCTAGTATGCCAGATTAGGAGCATAGCTTCTGCTTGGGTGGATATGTTCAGGTTACTTGTTAACATTGCCAGGAATGTTGTCCTCAAAGTCTTGAGGACTTTGTTGTGGTTTCCAGTTTAATGACTGTGCAATCTTGAAATGACTTAATACCAATTTAGAATTTATTTTTCCTTTTTCCCCTCTAAAGTGATTTTTCATTTGAATCACTTATGGTTATATATAAGCTACCATGAAAAATGCAGAAAATCTAGACCTCTGGATAACAAGATATGAAATGTATGGTGTAAGAAAATGACCCTGTTCACAGCGTGCCTGCTGCACACTCACACAGGGCTCACCAAGCTGCCTTTCTGACAGCATAGCTGGAAAGCTCCTCACGAGCAGCACTTGTTGTGGCAACTGCTCAGAAATCTTTGTGGAAGTGCAAGATCCACAGACACGGCAGTGAGGAGAATCAACTCACAGCTGTGGAATGAGTGTTTTCTAATGGTGCAAATGAAACTAGGAAAAAAACAGCATGCCTGTCTTGCTGGAAATACATTTGCTTTGTGCTTGTCATTTAACAGCCTTGGTTATGAGAACAGAATCATTTCAGTACCACAGAGAATACGTATCTGTACAGCTCTAACACTTTATATCACAAAATTTATGATCCCATTAAATTATCATGTTTTTCCTGTACTCTTCCTAATCTGTGTTTTCATTTTTCAGTCTTTTCCTGTCTTTCATTTTGATAGGCACAAATTTATGTATGTTTCTGGGGTCTTATTGTTCCTTTTAGTCTAATGATCTGTGCCGTCCCTGAACTTCTCAGAGCTTTGGGAAGGCCCAGGAGTGCTTGCGGTATCACATTTATAGCTCTGAAAACTATATTATTCTTTATCCTTGCAGATGTTTTTTAGAGGTTTATAAGAGGCTTTGGTTTTTGTTACAACTTTATTACACACACCAGCTCTTATGGTTATATAAGATGCAGCTCTAGAGCTGCTTATGGAATTTGGCAATAGTTTTCTATGCTGCTGTACACAGTATGGACAATCCTCTGTTTTTTGGTTTGTACTCTTATATGACATCTGTCTATGCATGTTGCAAGACCAGTTGCTAGATCCAGCACACTAGGTAGGTTATCTACGTGTCACTCGGTGAACAAATGAATGCAGTCTGCACCTCCCAGGTCCCAGTGTGTTTCTTCTGTGAATTATTTTGCAGCAGTGTTCGTTACCTGTATTGGAAGTTTTAAAAGACTTGTTGATATTTGATGGTGTGTGTGTTTTTTCTGTAGATCTTTTCTATTAGTGCCATTGTTGACCAATTACCACCTGTTTCAAATCCATTTATATGCTGCAAATGAGTATACTTGTGCCAAATCAAATAATTCTTTGCCTATTACTTGTTGTATATGGCAAAATCTGTAGTCTACAATGTATAAATTAATATTGATTTTTTTTATGATCAGTGTTACATCACTCAAGTTTAATATTATTTATTATTAATTCCTTCCATTTGTAATCAGAGCACATTCTGTCAGGCATCCCAACATTTCCTGGTTACAATGCTTTCTTTTACTTAAGTAACTCCAAATTAAATTCTAAATGGCCAATAGAATGTTTGTGTTACATTAAATGAAGACAAAGTTGTGTAATAAAATATATAGGCTTTTTTCTTTTTCTTCTTTTTTTCCTGTGATATGGTAAGTTCTGAATTCAAAACCAAAGAATTATATAAACTTCATATGTGCTACCCAGCACAGACCATTTGAAACAGAATCTTGTCAACAAGCTTAAGTATTGGGTTTCTTGTTTGCTGGAGATCTGCTTTCCTTTTTCTTTCAAATGACTCAGTGAACAAGCAGGTGCTACACAAACTCTATACCAAACACAGTCTTCTGATGAAGCATTACGCTGTAAAATCTGGAAAAAAAATTAAAAACTTAGGCAGAGTTTTCATTCTTTCAACAGTCTACAATACAAAACAATGAGCTTTCTGTAGGTAATAGGAAGAATTAAGTCAATGTAAGAATTGCAAATGTACCTCAATAAAAATTACCACTTTTAGTTAATCAGTTTTCTTGTTGACTTGATTGTGAATGTGAGAAGCTCAATCATTATATAGGAACATTCTCTTGATTAGCTGAATTTAAACCACAGAGGTGCAGAAGATTGTTAGTACAAAGGCTTATGATGTTTGTAACAATAACAGTTCTTAATTCATCAGTAAGTAAAACATTCAAAATTTAGATAGGCCTATGATAGGAAAAAACCCAACAAAATTATTGAAAGAAAAATCCCATTAATACTCATATTTAAAGCAGTAGCCAGTCTTGAATGGATGAAAAAGGTCACAATATTAAATAAAATTAAACACAAGGAAAGAAATCTGTAAATTCGTTTGTTTAATACTTATGATTTCTTTGTCTTTCCTCTGCTCCACCCCAGCCCCTGTGTTTTTTGTGCTTAGGCATTTTTAATAGCACTTTTGCTATATTTCATTATCTTACATTGTTATCAGCTGGTTGCCAGTACGTTAATGTGTGTTAATGGTTGCTATGGCAATTATCAGTGCATTAGTCTAATTGTATATCATCGAAAAGAAGATATATAACAGTTATTCCAAACTTATGTTTCATATTTTTAAAGACTGTATTTCATAGTATCTTTTGGAAATACACTGCTTCAGAGGAAATTATTTGTCTTATGAACTTTCCAAGACAAACAATTAAATCCATGGTGTTTAATCTCTGATACTAATATGAATATTCTTATATCAAATAATAATTCCTTATGAAATTTACTTAAACATGTTTGGTCCATTCTGCTCTGGAAGCAGTCCTTTTTTACATCTACCAAATTAAATATTGGAAAAAGGGAGATGTCAACTTCGGTGTTTGGAATAAATATGGAAAGTAGTCCCCTCTAATGGGCCTTGTGTTGGCCTTGTCACTGTTCTTCCCTCTGAATATAACAAGAGCTGGTATGGTGTAGTAATTTGTGTCGCCAGCAATGCATTATCTTTATCTTTTTGTCAGCCATTTGAGCACATAGATAATGCTTGTCCTGTAATATTTCTTCTCCTGGAAGGATCACTGGTAGGACCAGATTTCATCAAGCTAATAACTGCACTTTAATATTGTGCTGGTTTTAGTTGGGATAGAGTTAATTTACTCACCATGAGCAAGAGCAAAAGGCAGATAGCCTTGTATTAAAGGCATTTAAAGGACAACAAAAGATGCTTGCAAGTATTTGTCAGAATGGATGTACCATTTCTTTTCTGCCTGCAAATGTAGAATGAAAACCACATACTTTATTTTATAGCATTACAGTTCTACTTTTAAGAAGTAAGGTATTTTCAGTGTAGGCACTGTTGTCTAAAGTAGTAGGCATTATTTTGGCATTTCTTAGTAGGTCGAACCAATCATAAAATCCTCTCCGTACCTTCGTTATTTGTACCCACTAGAACAAACAGTAAATTGTTGGTGTGGTGTGTTTTCTTTTTTGTTTGTTTTGTTTTGTTTGTTTTTGTTTTGGGTGGGTTTTTTTTAAATATATTTCCCGTCCTTTTTTTTTTTTTTTTTTTTTTACATGAGATATTAGGAAGAACATGGCGAGTTCTTTGTATGGTTTCTCTCACTGCCAACAAATGCTGACAAGATGTGAGAAGAAAGTGTTGACAAGAAAATGATTCTATTAGTCACTAAAAATTATATTAGCCATATAACTAATCTAGTTAAACAATGTTTTTAAATAAGATAAATTTGCACTAGAGGAAAAACTGATCGATACTGTGTTAATAAACTTAAAATACAAAGATTAAACTTTGCCATTTTGTTAATTTCAGCTGGAGGAGAGATTAGGTTAAATTACCTATTACGAAAGTTCTGCACATAAAGCACATTCATAATATTCTTAGAAGACCTTATGTTTTGGAACAATACATGTTTTAAGTATTTAACATAGTAAGGCATAAGTTTATTAGCTCATTTATTAATTAGTATTGCATGTATTTATTAATATTTTTACTAGTATTGTTTTGTTCTTTTGTTTATATCTTGTTTATTCTTTGCTTTTTTTATATATCTTGTTTAGTGCTTTGATTAATAAAACCCAATATGTAGTACAGTAAGGTCTCTGAGCTTTAGTTATGTACTAGCTGCTTCTTATGGTAGCTGCTTCATAAACAGTGCACAAAATATAATGCCTTTGATTCTTCAGTCAAACTCTGCATTTATTCTTGTTCTTGTTGTTTGTATTGTTATCTTATTAAGTAAATTTGGTGGAAAATGAAAGCAGGTATAAGCCACACAGTTTCATTTGTTTGTGTATTACTTGCTTTTTTAGTAAATTCAGTTGTTACTGAATTTCTAGACTATTGCAACTTTGAATCATTGCTGTATTTGCCATTCCATGATTTCAGTTGGTATAAATAGTAATTTTTATACTGATGCTATAGTATAATTTTTTCTTTAAGACAGGAAGGTTTCTGAAATTGAACTGATTTTTCATGCCTATGCAGGATGTGAAGAATCGACGAAATCCTCGCCTTGTACCTTATGCTCTTTTGGATGATCGGACAAAGAAGTCAAACAAAGACAGTCTCCGGGAAGCAGTCCGTACCCTTCTAGGCTATGGTTACAACCTGGAAGCTCCCGATCAAGATCATGGTAATTAATTTTGTTGTTTTGCTCTTTTTCTCTCTCTCTCTCTCTCAAAAAAAAAAAAAAAAAAACCAACCAAAAAACAAAAAAACAAACAACTTAGACTATTGCACTCCACTACTGAATTTGCGTCCAGCAAAACAATTTGGATAGGTACTGTGTCTGCACAACTAATAGGTGCTTTTCTCTATCTTGTTATTTATATTTCCCTTTGATCTTACTTTCCTTATTGTTTCCTTTTCTTGTCTTATGTCCTCAAACAAAACGAAACATTTTCACATTTTGAATCAGCGATACAATTTCTCTGTATCTCATACACTTCCTTTCACTGTTCATTTTGTAGATTTGATAGTTCAGATGAATCAAAATGAAAAGCTTAAGCAATTTATATCAGGACTGTATATACTAGGAGATATGAGCCTAAAATACAGAAAATCAGGAAAACATGTTTATCATCTTGCTTGATATATTGTCTTATGCCAGGTAATAAAATGTATGGTCACATTATAAGTATGCATAAATAAGTTCCCAAATCTAAAATCAAGTTTTTATTTACAAACTTTCAAATTAGTACTATACTTGGTATTTCAAGACAGAATAGAAAAATTGCTAAGAAAAAAATCGTATGCAAATGCAGTAAATGTGAATTTTATATTCCTACAGTTTTAACTGTAAATAATGAAAAATTCTACATTTCATGCAGAATCTTATATTTAAACAGTTAAAGCTACAAGCTGAAGTTTTCAAAGACTACGATCCAAATGTCTGTGAATCTCAAACTGCAGTCTGGAATTATTTTGTTAGAACATTTAAGCTTCCTGGATTTTTTTGGGTCTTTGTAGTTTAACAGACTATAAGTAAATTTTAACTAAATTCTTACAAATGTGGATTTGTTTGGGTGTGGTTCTTTTTTTTTTTTAATTGCATCATTGCCAGATTGCATATTTTATTGGTACTGCAGGCAGTATTTTCAGCCTATATATAGCTTGAGTTTGAGACATCCTAAAGAGAAGAAAATGGAAACCTATGTAAAATCTTAATAAAGAAGTTTTTTAAAAACAGTACATAACAGTTGCCTCAGTAACTACAGAATATAAAATGTTAAGGAAGTAAAAGAAATTAGGAGACATAATGTACAAATAAATTAAATTCTCCTAGATTTTGTCTTTTAAGTCAAGAGTTTTCTGTCATGCTGAGATCAAGCTGTAAGACAGAATGCAAGAGGAATATTCTTCGTGCTAACTGCACATACAGGAAGGAAATTGTGATAGATATAAACCCTCAGGAACAATATTCTAGAAATTCACTTGGAGGTATGGAAATATGGAATAATCAAATCCAAATTGAAACTTACATTCTTATAATCTCGGCAAACTGTAGACACATTTCTCAAATTTTCCAAACTTTATTCAATCAGTATACTGATTCCTGCTTTATATGAGATAGTGTTGTTAAAGTTGGACTTACTTGGGCCATAGACCTTCTGTAAAGCATTTTCCTAGAAGGTCTAACTCATACCCAAAGTATACACAGGCATCCTGCCATTTCAATTTCTCTCCAAAGCACATACATGCTCTGTTCCTCAGATTTTATAAGAGGCTGCTATGAAATTACACTTTTTAAATGCAAGGCATCACTGGTAACCCTGAGTGTTTAACAAGGCTGTATTGCTGAATGGGCCAAAGAATGCTTCCTGGTGGAGTAGATTGCGTTGGTTGGTGGCAAGATGCTGTGGTCTTACTGTTAAAACTGCCTATACCTAGTCTAGAGAGTTTAAGGCTGCTGTATAATCTTGTAGTTTCTTCCCCGCCCACTGTGGGAAGGAGATGCTGCATAGAGAGACTGACTGAACATGGCTTCTGCTTGGTTCTGAGAAGGTGGGTTGGCTGGTATAGGAGACTTCTGCCGTTTTGTGAAGGTAAAGGGTCTGTCTAGTGATGTAGGGTGAGAGGGGGAGAAGGCATGTTCGTTTTCTGCAATATTCTCCGAATCCCACTGAACAGTATTAATCCCCTTTCCTCATTTACGGCTCCGAGAATGATGTGTCCCTGCCTTTCCTTGGGAATGCACTGCTGGAGTTTTTATTTTTTCTTTATGACCCTTGAGATAGTTTTGTGAATGGAGTTACTAAGGGAATGTGAAGAACGCAGTTGTGATTCTAGCATCTGAAAGGTGTCATCAATCCTGTTGCAAAATTCCCAGAGGAAAGGACCTGCAGAACAGTGTCCTACAAAGTGGTCTTTCTTAAAGACTGGAATTGAAATCAGCAAAAGATTTTTATAGTAACTTCTGGGATTTAGATTTTACAGTTTATAAGCCTCTCAAGTTTTTGAGATGCATAAAACATCTCATAGGGATCCCCTTTCATCAGCCAGAATCCATACTGTTATTAAAGGATTTAGAGCCCTCTAGTGGTGTTCTGTATCTCTGTTCATAAATTTTGTTTTAAACATTGATTTACAAAGCTCTACAGCATCATTTTTTGTGCTCTTTTATTATTATCATTATTACTTACTGGTCTCCCACAGCAGCTGTATTTTTGAGGTTGCTTAGAATCTAGAAAGCATTAGGTTACTTATGTCTAAAAAGACAAATTCCCATGCTTTCTGGTGGCTCATCTGTATAGGTGAGGTACTGAGGATCTTCAGAGTTTTTTTTAAGCCATTAATTGTGTAGACAATCAAAGAGAAAATTCTACTGATGAAGAATTTTGTGACAAAGGGTTCAGAGTTGCTTACAGTAAACTTAATGAGCCTGATGTAACTCAAGTCAAGCATTTGGCGGCATGAGAAGTGATAATAAGTTTTGAGGGTCATGAGTTTATAAACTATTCAGATAGTACTTGAAATGTGGACCTTGATGTAGCTGAGAAAATGAGAGAAAAGGAAAGTTTCTTAATATGGTCTAACAAACAGATAGGTAGGTGCAAACATTTGAGTTTATAACAAACTCTACAAGAGGAGGGAATTATCATGATGAGACTGGAATACTGAGTTTTCAAAGGCTGTGCAGGCTTTAATACCATGCAAATTTGTGGGAAAAGAACCAGAATATTTTAAGCATTCTTTTTCATAATCTGAGAAAGAGTCAGAGTGATCCCCGAGTCATGTGATTTGATTAATGGAAAGAAAACTATAAAATACCAGAGAATTGAGTAGTTTCAAATTAAGCAAGAATGGTCATGGGTTTGATTCAGCATTATTTCTTGTGCTTTGTGAAATGGTTTACATCTTTTCAAAGTGTTAATTTTGTCATTGCAAGCTACCTTATGGTTTGAATTGATAGTGAGGTCCTGGGAAGAAGTGGCAGAAACAGACTGTAGGACAGTGTAGTAAAGAGGAAACGTTGCGAGAGCTATATAGGTACCCACAGTGCAAGGTTGTACTTGAAGCTTTTTTAGCAGAAGATACTACAAAAGAAAATGTGCCAAGTAGTGGAAGAAGATAGGATTGAAAGTGTTTAAAAGGATGTTAGGATTGGCTATCTCCAAGGCACCATGTAGGCTCATGAGTACTAGTATTCAAGTAATATTTGTGAGTAAATGTTCTTAAGGCAATTTTGGAGAACATTTTCCGTAGGTAGTAGGTGGATGCCACATAGCTATAGATGAAGCAATAGAAGCATTTTTTCAAGACAGTATGTTCAGTGCAGTGAGGGAAAGAAAAATGGAGGAGTAGGTGAGTCAGAGATTTGTGATTTTGAGTGTGACAGACAAAAGTACAGTACTATTGGAACAGATTGATCTGGAATGGTTGTTGGGATATCACATGAAAAGTGTGGAAGTGGGAGCAAAGGAGTGGGTTAAGCCACAGGACACCTGGGATGGATAGATGGAGAGCTGGATCAGAGCTTAGAGATCCAAGTCCAAAACTTTATTGATGTTAGTTGTCAAGAAAAAATGAGAAAATAGATTTCTTATATGATTCAAAGCAGTACATATGCCAGCATACTTTTTCTCCCTTTAAAGATCTTTGCTTATACATTCCACAAATGTTAAAAGCAGAAATGTGAGGCATAATCTAAACTTGTTTCTACTGCTGTTATGGAGCAAACAGAATATGTTTTACACTTATGTTTTTACGCTTCCCTTGATGTTTCTTTTCTTTCTCTCAAGCAGCCCAGTAACAACCCAACTTAACTTTTTTCCAGTATTTTTATGCCCTTATTCTTTTGTGGAGTAGGAGAATCAGTGAATACATTTAGAAGGAATAAGTTGGATGTGTCAAAGTTTAACATTAGCCTCCTTTGAAACCCTTGGTGTAGCCTTTCGGTCTTTGAGAAAAGATACTTAAAATTACCTGACAAAGAGCGTATTTTAACTTGAACACTCTTAAACTAGCTTGTTGTGAATCACTTGCAATTAAGAGAATTGTGGAATGAAGCATAGTAAGCTATGATAAGATAACCACATCATGCTACAGATATTTAACCAAATCAATGAAAGCTTTTGTTTTCACACAGTTGTTAATTTGTTACACCCTATTTCACTAGATAAGAAATGTGAACAAACTTTTTCTTCATCTCAGCTTGTCAATTGGCAAATAGTAACTTTGAAGTGAGAAATGGCAGTTTTCAAGGCACTGTGAGATAGTCTGAGAGAGAATAAAGGAGGAATAAAGGAAAGAATCAATGCAATTCAAACTTGGCATCTTGTTATTTCACTAACTAAATAGTATTTCGTAAATAGCTCCTTGGCTGTGACTAGGTTTTCCTTTGTTCTTTAACAGTAACTTACCTTGCCTTGCCTTGAACACGACTTGCCTTGAACACGACTTTTATGCCCTTCTTAAGGGCATCTTTATTCTTTCCAGACTTGCTGCCCTTAATCTTGACAGAAGTTAATATATTTTTTTCATGAAGCAGGAATATAATTACTTTGGGATTTTTGTTGTTGTTAAAGCTTCATGCAAATCTTCCTTTCATGATTCCTATCCTCATTTTCCATTGCTTTGGCAAAAAAAATCTACATCGTAACCTTACTTCTATTTTTTATGATAATAACTAAAAATACAGTAATGAATTTTTAAAACAAGAACATACCTAAGAAGTCTGACTTTTAAAATATAAATTAGAAGATTAGATGTTGAATTGATTACAGTCTCTAAGTAAAGAAGATGTCTTGGTAGAATAATCTTGCCTCAAAGACAAACATGTCTTTTATTGTGATTGGAAGGATTAATTTAGTCTGTATTTTCTTGGAGTTTGTATGTTTGGTGTTTTTGTGTTGTTTAAAATAACTAACAGCCCAATTCACAGAATCACAGAACCTTTGAGGTTGGGAAGGACCTCTTGAGATTATCTGGTCAAATAGGGCCAGCTAAAGCAGGTTGTCCAGGACCATGTCCATATGGGGTTTGATTGGCTACAAGAATGGAGCCTTCTCAACAGCCCTGGTAACCTGTGGTAGAGACCCTCACAGGAAAAAGTGTTTTTCTGTGTTCAGATGACATTTCATGTTTTTTATCTTGTGTCCATTGCCTGTTGTCCTGTTACTGGGCACCACTATGAAGAGTCTGGCTCACTCCACTCCCTCCCACCAGGTATTTATATTTGTAAATAAGATTCTGTCCTGAGCCTTCTCTTCTCCAGGCTGAACAGTCTTATCTCTCTCTGCCTTTCCTCCCAAGAAAAACATTCCATTCCCTTACTCAACTTTGCGGCCCTAAATCGGTCCACTAAATCGGTCTTTCTTGCACTGGGGAGCCCAGAACTGGACTCAGTGCTCCAGATGTGGCCTCACTAGTTAGTACCAAGTTGAGGGGAAGAACCACCTTCCTTTCCCTTATGCAGTCCGGGATGCTTCTGTCCAGGATGCTTCTGTCCAGGATGCTTCTTTGATGCGAGGCTACGTTACTGGCTTATTTTCCACTTGTGTACTAGGACCCCCAGGTCCTTTTCTGCCAAGCTGGTTTCCAGCTGCTTAGCCCCAGTAGAATGTGTTGCCTGGGGTGCAGTCCTCCCCAGGTGCAGGACTATGTTTACACTTGTTGAACTTGCTGAGATTACTCTCAGCCCAATTCTCCAGCCTGTGGAGGTCCCTCTGAATGGCAGTACAACTGCTGCGTTAGCTGCTTTTTCCAATTTTGTGTCATCTGGAGACTTGCTGTGGGTGTTTCCATTTTCAAGGTCGTAAATGAAGATATTACACAGCATTGGCGTTAATACCCGTGTAGATCCTAGTACCCCTGGAGTATTCCACTATAGCACCCATATCTGCCTGCGTATCTTAACCCATACATTCTGCACTGGCTTCTGAACAATCGCAAAGCAGTTCTCTATGCATTCCAGCTGCTCTCTCACAACTCTTCCTCATAACCTTCCCAGCCTGTCCTTCCTACAGGCCAGGTATCCATTTATCATAATACTCCAGTCATGTGAGTTATCCCACTCTGTTTCTGTGATCCCAGTGAGAATCACAGCCCTGTAAGGCTGTTCTGCAGGCACTTTGTAATTTGCATGCCTATGCTCAAGGGATTCGTTTGCCTTTTGTTTTCACTGCCTTTGTTTTGACAGTAGTTGAATGCAGTACATTATCTGTTGAGGTTTTTTTCTTCACTTTTTAATATTTTTAAATCTTGCAGCAATGAGACTGGATGTGTGCAGTGGGATAATGGAAAAATTCAGGATCTTCCGCACAGAAAAGACTTATGCGGTGAAGGCTGGGAAGTGGTACTTTGAGTTTGAGGCAGTTACTTCAGGAGATATGAGGGTTGGCTGGACCAGGCCTGGTTGTCTGCCAGATCAGGAACTTGGCTCGGATGAAGAAGCTTTTGTTTTTGATGGCTTTAAGGTTTGTATAAGTTTATCTGTAATGATATGAATGATTGTAAAACTTACTATTTTGTATCTTATTCCATGTGTCATTGCCTTCAACTTCACTGCCTTCTCTTCTCTCATTTATGTTTTATGCAATGATTTCTTTCTCTCTTTGAGGACCTGGGTGGAATAAGGAGGATGAATGTCACCTGAAAAATTAATTAGCAGGGTTTGGTATTTCTATAATTTTTTTCACAGCTTCACAGTTTTTGTACAGTACATATAAAGCATTGAAAAGGTGACTTACTCGAATTCAAAATACTGGTAAAGCTGTAATTAGCTATGAATCATTTCCTTAAATTTTTACTCTGTTGTTCTCTATATAAGAAGTGCCATTAGGGAATAAATACAGTTAAGATTATTAGCAGTACATGTTTTTGGCAAACTTTGTTGCAAGTTTTTTGTATGAACATAAAAGTTACAAAGACTATACCGCGGTTTTCATGGAAATCCTTACAATTTAGGGTAAATTAAGTATTACAGAACCAGTAATTTTTGATCAATTTTAAGCTTGCATGAGACAATAACAGATTGAAACCTAGTAGTAAAAATATATAGGAAAACAAACAATTTAATGTTATTGATTTTTAACAGAATAGATTAAATGACTCATTAAAGTTTTTTATTTCTAGTATGAAGGCAAGTGCAATTGCTATCCAAACTGTAATTGCTATTAAGGCTACTGATGACTCATGTCAAAATGTTTCTTGTGTCTGATGTTGGAATTAATTTTCTTTATTACTATTACAGTATGTAACAGGAATCAACAGTATTTCTGGATGTTCCTGGTCAGATCAAGCTCTCAAGCTGTATTTCATTCATGTTGGAATTTAATTTCTTAGTCTTGTATTACATGAGAAGAGCCCTTAAAAGGAGAACTGAGAAGTTGTTTTTCGTAAAATATCTGATAACCTTAAGTAAACTATTGAAGTCCTGTGGCTTTATTAGAATAGCTGTGTAGTAGTTTGCCTTCTGAAACTTAGGTTTTGACCTTTAGGTCTCAATCCACAAATCTATGTTGTTGTCTTTTATTATGGTGGGTTCTCTCCTTGGTTGGAAAAGCTTTTGACCTTCAGGATACACATTAAGGCCCATTTGTTTTGTAGGATTTTCAGGATGGATACAGAGGATAAAAATCTACTTGTGATAGAATGTATGAGTAGGGAACCTATTTGTTATTAACACTACTTTGTTTTATGTGTGTTGCATTACTTCTTAATAGATGTTAATTTATTTGAATTCCAGTCCAAGACCCCATTCAGAGCCTTTTCAGTCTTTGACTTGAAGGTCAGTCATATGAATCATTAATCATGCCCTCAGCTACTCTGGAATCTATCACAGGCTCAGAGAACCTGTCCCATCTACATACGATTCTGTTCCTTCCAAAATCTGTTATGACAGGAAATTTAATATTTTTTGTACACAACATTTTTAGTATTAAATTTAAAGGAAACAATAAAGTTTGTGTGCCAGCAATGAATTTATAGACTACTAAACTAAATAAAAGCAATTGCTTAGAAGAAGTTTGTGAAGCAGCTATTTAACACTGTAACTGATAGCATAATATTTTCGTTACAAGTTTTTTGTGGAGCTTCTGCAGAAAAATAAGCCATGCTCTTACTTGTTACTAAAATGTTGAAATAGCAATTTTCCCTGTCAGCTCACTTTGAAATGTCTTACAATACTGATGTGAGGGGTGCTTGCAGGAGTTAATTGTTCGATTTCCATTCTCAAAGTCAACTTGAAGTACTCACAGGCATTGTTTTCGAATGATGTGCTGTGAAAGTGTTAATTTCAGTGCTGTCTTAATTGAGAGGGCTAATTATTAGTTGTACCAGTAAGGAAGAGAGAAACACATACATTGTACTATTACTCTTTGAAATTCTTTTAAATCTTTTTCAGGCACAGCGGTGGCATCAAGGTAATGAGCATTTTGGCCGCTCTTGGTTGGCAGGAGACGTTGTTGGATGTATGGTTGACATGAATGAGCACACTATGATGTTCACCTTAAATGGTGAAATCCTGCTTGATGACTCAGGTTCAGAACTTGCATTCAAGGACTTCGATGTTGGTGATGGTAAGTACTGTAATATATCGTGCTGTTAGTTTGCTGCTGTTGCCCAGTTTTCCTCTGGCTTCCCTTTAACATGGTGTGCTTTTTGTTTCTTCTCCTCTTGTCCCCCCGTCCCACCTTCCTCTCTCCAGGGAACTAGCCCTTGTCCTTTTCTCTATTTCATTAGTATCAAGCCTTTGGAAAGGTGTGCTGGGTGTGAGGATGAGGCAAGGCCTTTTTCTGTGGTGAACTTTGCAGCCAACTTTTGTGATCAGATCTTTTAGCTGTTTTGCTGGGATGTGTCTGGAGTTGCGAATTCAAGACCTTTAACGTTTCATGTGCACTGCAGCAGGTTACCATATGGTATGACAGAATCATACAATGAATGACAGAATCATTTGTGTTGGAAGGGACCTTTGAAGATCATCTAGTCCAATGCCCCTGCCATGGGCAGGGACATAAAATTTTATCTAGATCAAGTACTGAAATACTACCCAAGTTCTGACAAATTAGTGAGAACATGTGGTAGGGAGTTTAAGCCAGCTTTAAGGTTTTGTTTTAGCTCTGGGAGGAGAAATGACACCTGATCCAGGGGAAAGCCAGCTGGTACAAAGTTAGCTTCCAGAACTCTTTACTTAATTCTAAACCAGCAGGTTGAGTTTTGTGCCTGTTGTTGTTGTGTTCTTGGTGCCGCCTTCAGAGTCCACAAGCAGATTTTAGTTTACCAAGCCATATCTTATGAAATTGCAAAAGATGGCAAAAATTAGGGGTTGTGTCAGGTGCCAGACTGATTCTGTGCCACTAAAGTATTTTTGTTTATAAATTTAATTGCATACTTGTGTGCAAATATGTACACAAAGGGTAAGAGACTACATTAATGTAGGCAACTGCCTAAAATTTCTGAACTGTGGTTAATGTAAAAAAAATATTTTAAGCTTTAATTGTTCCCTTTTATTTGTTGTCAGTACGTGTATTCTGTAATATATATGTATTTGTTAAATAATACATATGTGTCTGAGATACCTTTTTTGAGGAATAAAAGCTGCAAATGATGCTTTTGGGTTACTGATCTCTGTTCCAGGAGAAATATGAATGTCATACCTATTAATTAGATAGCTCCCTGCTTGAATTCTAATGGCTTTATGTTCATCTATATTTCAGAGTATTTTACTTTGAGGAGCGCTTTGGGAAAGTTTGTTGTTCTTCCTTTGCCGTACCATAGGAATTAGGAATAATTTTATTTTATTTAAAACGAGGTAATTGCCACCAATTTTATAGACTCATGCCTGTTACTTTGCTGCCTTCAGATTTCCATGATAACATGATGAGGGAAAGGGATCTGTGAATTTGTTTACTGTTGGTGGTCTCACATATAATGATCCTGGTGCCATTAAATTGTAATTGTTTTCCAGTTATTAGGCAGTATAATCCAATTGAAGAGTGAAGGATTCTGAGAGAAACTGGAACTCTAAATTCTGAGGGTATCCTGTTTGACCACTACTTTGATTTCAGAGTTGATGGGTTTTCACAGTACTTGTTTCTGGCTGCAGGTTCAGATTTCAACAGATTTCTGTGGAGTCTGAAACTGCTAAAGTAGTTCCCAGTTTGACATTGAGCCCAAAGGCTTCGGTAACCCTGTCAAAGAGTTAAGGTCAGTGTCAAGCCTCTCAGATTTTTCACAATATCCTTTTAATTCACATTAAGTTCCTCTAGTGTTGTGTTTGTAGAAAAGAACTTGCCTTTGAAACAACATCTTGTATTCTGTTTTCCAAGAAATATGCTGATTGATCTGAGATTCAATAACTTCAGATCAATATTTGTAAATATTATGGGTATTTCATAAACAGTTTGGGGAGGCATCTGTATGTATGCATGTATATATACAAACAGATGTAGGAAATACCCAGATTAAATATGACTTTTATAGAGCTTTAATTTTTTTGTGGGTTGGTTTCAGTTTGGTTATGTTAATGGCTCTTGCTTAAGAGCATTGAGGCCTTTCTGCAGGCCTCTTCTATTGGTGAATCTTGTGCATGCCATGTGCTGCTGCAGAAAGAGACCTTTCATTTTAGAAAAAAAGACAGAATTTCTGGTTGGAGCCCAGTGTCCTGCTTTGGGGGATGTAGTCTGACTATAAATCAGCCTTGTAGTTTTAATTCACTTAGAAACAGCGAGAAGGGAATATGGTGCTCTGCCAGCTTATTGATAAGGCTCATGTGCTACACCTTAGGTTGTACTACCAAAAAGAGCAACCCTTTGGGATTAGTGCAAGTGAATTTGTGAGATACCATCTCAGTAGTAAAATTGTTAAACACAATTGCAAATTATTATGCATTTGTGTAAGAGAAGTTTTTACACTGTAGGTATGAAAAAGGACACTGTGCAAACCAGATTTTGTTTTGTCAACTCCTGATCTCTGTGAGCATGAACTGTTTGTTGTGAGTGTTTGACAGTTGGAGTCAGGAGGTTCATCCTGTATTCTCAAAAGTAGGGAACGTTATAAAGAATATTGCAGTCCTGTGCTTTTGCTGTGTGACACACAATGCTAAAAAGTTACTTTTCTGGTGATAGTGTTGAAGTCTTTCTACTTGTTTTGCTATTTCATACAGTAAAATACCCTCATGATATTTGCCATTGGCAAATCAGTGCAGAATTTCACCGGAGGTGGAAGTAATGCTTACATGATTAGGACTGGAATTGGTACTTATATCCCATTTAGACAGAGCCACAGTAACTGTATAATTACAGTTACTTGCAGGAGTTAGCTACATGTACAGTACTGTTCTGGCAACAATGAAATCTGTATTGGTGAGCGAGATTGTCATCTTGATTCCATATTGGCTACAGTTACAGGGTTGATGGAAAATACTAGGTTGAGTAAAAACATCAGTGAGAGTTTTACCTGTGTAGGAATTTTGTTCTGGGTTTCTTTGTTTTCTATAGGGAATCTTGCAAATACTAATTTACATTTCATTTGTGTGTGTAAAACATTTGCTTCATATCTAAGAATGAATTTAACTGTGAGCTCTGCTTTTTCTGAGCTCACAGGAAAATGCATAGGTAGAAAAATTAACAGTTTATGTACATTCTGTTTAGGAATGGCTAATATTAGTAATATTTTACATATTTTCAATATTTCTGCTTGACCTAGTTTTGTGTCATGTATACATCTCAGTCTTCATGAACAAGAGTTGATTGTCTTTTCTTGGATTTTGGACTACATCTAATTATCTAACCAGCTTTTTCCATTACGTACGCTTACTGAATTCTCCTGATAACGTCAGCTGCCACTGCTTTTTTGTTGTTTTATAAAGCAATTTATTAACTGTTTTATTTGAGGGCTCTAATAAGAAGGAACTGGCTGTGTGTTTATTCTCAAGGTGCTGGAGATAGAACTTGCTACTGCCTTTTATGAAATATTTGCACTGTGCAAAACCATAAAACAATTGTTCTTATATAATAAGTATAGACATATATATATATGATGTGTTTTTTTGGTGGTGTTCCCCTGTTCCCCCCTGGCCCCCTCCCCCTTTCTCACATGAAGGTCTCCAAACGCTTTTTATATCAACGTGATCTTTTATCATGCTATGTGACAGATAATTCAACAGCATTACTGTCAGGTGTATAAGGAAGTTCTTCCCTCTGTTTTGAAGCTTGTTACCAAACAGTTTCTTTGGTCATAATTGTGTTTAAGAGAGATATTGAAAAATCATTTACTTTTCATCTTCTCTGTGCCACTCATGACATGGGTATGTATTATACCCCCTTAATTTTTTTTCTTTTTTGAGACTAAAGTAACCGAATTTCTTGTTGCTGATAAGAAAGCAGTTTCATATATGTGTTGGCCATTTTCAGATTTATTGTGTCCTTTTTGAGATGTGGAAAGCAAAACTCTTCATGAGATTCTAAATGTGGGTGTCATACATCCTGGAACCATCTGAAAATATTTTACATCAATAAGGACTGGACATTAAATTGAGGTGATTCAGAAAGACAAAGCACATGCTGGAAGCTGAATATACCTATGTGGTCTATATAAGCAAATCTTATGTAATTTTTGGTTACTATTGTGAGGTTTCAGGCTGTCACAACTGTTTCTGTGAAAATTCATTATCAAGCAACTTGATGTCCACAGAAGGTTGTTACTGTTATCAAGAAATTAGCTGAGATTTGTAAATATATTAAAAATAGAATTTTGATTTTTGACTTTGCTTTAAAACTTTTGTAACAGCTTATGGATTCCTTTAACACAGCAGAGACCCTAGCAAATTCTCACTCTTAGAGCTTCAGGGGTTTACCACAGCATATACCTTTATATGCAAATATAGCTTTCTTATGATGCTTTCTTGTGATGTGTTTATAATAGGGTTTTGGTTCATTTAGCGCTGGAAAATACTGTTTTTATTATTGGCAGTCATTGGATTTGCACTAGCAGAATGGACATAAATCATGTTCTCTAAATCATCTGTGTTATCTGAGAAGTTGATGCCTTGTGATTTAAGGGCCTTGATGGGAAGATAAAAATCTGAACTTGAACTTACGACTAATAGTGTATGTCCTTAAATTTATCATGCCTAATACACACAGTGATTTCCAATCTTGTGTGTATGTAATAATAAAATCTTCAAAAGGTGGTTCTGAAGGCTAATATTTTACCTGGTGAGTAGTCATTTCTGTAGATAGCGCTTTGGAGTTTGTTTTTGTCTATAAAGAACATACAATAACAGGTATTCTGCCCCTTCATGCCTAATACACACAGTGATAACCAATCTTGTGTGTATGTAATAAAATCTTCAAAAGGTGGTTCTGAAGGCTAATATTTTACCTGGTGAGTAGTCATTTCTGTAGATAGCACTTTGGAGTTTTTGTCTGTAAAGAACATACAATAACAGGTAATCTGCCCCTTTTTAAAATTATTATTACGATTATTATTTTTTTATAGGGGCAGCCTAAAGAGCAGCTCAGAACTAGCTGTATTTTATCCTTAACAACATTCAATACCTTGTACATTCACTTGAGCCAGCAGCATTGATCAGAGCTTCATGTTTCTTGTTGATACAAAAGAAAACATTTTGTTAATAGCTAGGTCAAGTGATTCGACAAAGTGGTCTGGAGCTGTGGAAATTCAAAAACCAGGATGAAAAGGCACAGAAGAAAAAAAAAAGAGATTTTCGTCTGTTTTTAGACTTTGATGCTGAACCTGAGGAAAAAAAACCTGAACAGTGATTTAGAAAGTGCAGAGGGGTCACAAATGAGTTCCTTGTGCTAGCAAAACAGTAAGAGAGCAGATTCATACAAGTGTGAAACTGACTCAAAAGTAAAACCAAAAAACCCAGCCCAAACCGCAGAACAAACGTCAGCTGTCATTCCCCAGAGCCACAGAGTGGAAATTTTTAAATGAATTTTTTTTTTCCCCCCAAACGTACAGCACGCATTTGGTGAACATTTGTTGTATTTTTTTGCTTCTGTTGCTGTATGGACAAGCACTATATTACTTTTAAAGTAATTTTTGAGGTTCTCTCAAAACACACTGACTGATGGAATTTTAGCAGGAATACCAAAAATAGTAAGACTTGGAGTACAGTTGTCAGCACTCTACCAGCTTAGCAGAGAGATTAACAAAGAGCTGGTGGTCAGGGTCCTGGAAGCACTCTTAGGTCTCTATGAAGTAAACTCAGAACTGCATGAAGAGATCCGTAGCTGTTAGAGAGTGGGTGTGGGTTGTTGTTCTTTGGTTTTTTTTTTTCTTTCTCCTCAGAATGATATTTGAGATAGAGCACTTAGTGACATGCAAGAGGTGATGTGCTGTTGACGACTGTTTTCATTTGTACTGTTTGTTTTTTGGATTTTTTTTTTTCCCCCTCAAATTATTTATAACTGGGTTATGGAAGAGAACAGTTCTCTGATGTTCATAATGTACAACCAATGTGTTCTTTCATCTTGTTTTAAGGATTTCTACCTGTGTGCAGCCTGGGCCCATCTCAAGTTGGAAGAATGAACTTCGGAAAAGATGTCAGCACTCTAAAATATTTCACTATCTGTGGCTTACAGGAAGGGTATGAACCCTTTGCTGTTAATACAAACAGAGATATCACTATTTGGCTGAGTAAAAGGCTCCCTCAGTTTCTACCAGTGCCACAAAATCATGAACATATTGAGGTCTGTGATCATATTAAAATGTTTCTAGACAATTCTTCCATGAACGTGTTTGAATTATGTTTCTACTTTTGCACTTCTAGACAAGGTTTTTAATGTGATACATTGACTCAGTTTTGGAAGAGCCTTGCACCTGTTACAGATTTCTTGCATTCAGTGCAGTTGCAAATAATGTAATTATTTGGTGGATAGCATTTATCTTATCTGTGAAATCTGTCATATGTGTGTATGTGAGATTCTTGGAGACAAATTCTACAAGATGTCCTCATTAAGAGCTCTTTGTGCATTGGGAGCTATGTTTGTAAATAACTTTCAGAAAATGGGCATTTCTACGTAACATGTAGCATTTGTTCTGGTGCATACACTTCGTGAAATTATTTTTCTGTAACTTATTGGATTTGATTTTAATAAATATTTAGTAGCCAATTATGTCAACACTTATGTCCCAATCAGTTGTGCATCTTGACGGAACTGAATTCATGTCTTGTAAGTCTGCCATGAAGTCCTTCTGAAATGGATGAAACAAGAACTCTTTTTCAGCAGACGTGCATATCTCACTGTAGTACTTAAGAAGTAATTTGTGCTCCTGCATATGTACATGTATGCTCTATACTAGTTGGTTTTCGTTGTTCTGGGCAGGGTAGTATTTATTTTGCAAAGACTTATGGTGAAAAGGTCATTCCTTTGTGTGTGGCTTTTTTTTGTTTAATACCACAACAACTGCTTCCACTATTTACAGTACCTATTTCCCCTTAAAAGATCAGCAGATGATTATAATGCATTTGACCATTGACAGCATACCTTTGCAAGTTTTGCAAATCATGGATGCTTATTCGAGAAATAAGTTGAATATTTACAAGGGTGAAAAGTCATCGGCTTCAGACCAACTACATTTTTGCGTTTCATAGGTGATGAGAATTGATGGCACCATAGACAGCTGCCCCTGCCTGAAGGTTACGCAGAAGTCCTTTGGTTCACAGAACAGTAAAACAGACGTCATGTTTTTTCGATTAAGCATGCCCATTGAATGTGCTGAGGTGTTCTCCAGATCAGCTGCAGGAGGGTTGCCAGGCTCTGGTCTTTATGGCCCGAAGAATGACTTGGAGGATTATGATGCTGATTCTGATTTTGAGGTTCTAATGAAAACTGCTCATGGTCATCTAGTTCCTGACCGGACAGAAAGAGAAAAAGATGCCACAAAACCAGAGTTAAACAACCATAAAGACTATAGTCAAGAAAAGCCTTCACGTCTTAAACAAAGGTTAGTAGCACATTTGGCTTGGCTTTTCCTATTTATTTATTATTATACCTCATGCAATATATAGATTAAAATTAATCAGAAAACTGAAAACATTTTTAAACCTATCAGAAACCTATCATTTGGTTTATTGTGAAGGCTTTTGTGGTCATTCCGTGAAATGCACTCTAAAACCATGGAGATCCATTCTGACAGCACTAGTAGGTCTTCAAAGTGACATGGAATGTTTTTTTCATATGGCTTCCAAAAAGCTGAAGGTGTTAGATAATCTTTATCTAGAAATGCATATTATCTTATCTCACTAAAATAATCTCTTCTTCTAAAAGAATGTTCTGTAGCTGATGGATTAGTTATCCCTAAATTTTCTTAGAGAATCAGGAGTAGAACAGCTAACCTGATCACACTGAGGAGATGAAAACACTGTGCTGTTACCCAGACAATACTATGGCAGCTTTCCATTCTTTTTGTGCTTTTCTTTACCAAACTTGGTTTGTTAAATATTTCATATGCATAATAAATCAGACCATATGGATGGTATTTTTGAATGCATGAAGGTCATTTAAGGTTCCACTTTCTTCCAAAGTGACAAAGGTGTTTAACAGTCTGCTAATTTTTTAAGTAATGTGGTTTTAGTTTCCAAGAAACTTTCAAATATATAGTTTAATCTCAAAATTCATTTCAGTGCTTATAAAAAATAACCCCGTGTCTTTCTCTTTTCTGAAGAATTTATTTTGTTTTGATCTACATGAAAGTAATAAACTAGCTAGTGTTATCTTTTAATAATTCCTATGTATTTAAGGCTAGCACAGTAAATACCATGTATTTAGGGATCATGTACAAATGTAAAATTCCTTTGTGTATTTATATTGATATATTGAGCATATCATACATATTTTGATTTTACTTATTTTATTACAGATTTATGCTCAGGAGGACAAAACCAGATTATAGCACGAGTCACTCTGCACGGCTTACTGAGGATGTGCTAGCAGATGATAGGGATGACTATGATTATTTGATGCAAACTTCCACGGTATCGTAACATCGGATTGGTATTTTAGCTGCTTGCTTTTTCTTTTTTTTTTTTTTTTTTTAATAACTACAAGCTTTTGCTTGTAAGAATTTCAGAAACACTGTAACTTCCAGGCAAAGTTTTTAATCTCAATCAATGTCTGTTGTAGTCCTATACTACTGAGGTTGAGATCGCTAGGTTTCATTTTCTTTTGACTTGACTGTCAGTCTAAAACAATTTCCATACAGAAAACTTAATTGATTCAATTTTTGAATCTACTGTAGATAATGCCAAACATAAAATAGGAAGAATAAGTAGTTCTAGAATAATGGGATAAATAGGAAAAGTGCATGAAATTAAGACATCAGTGTTCAGGACCATTTGAAAACATCTATACTCGTTTTACTCAGCATTTACTTAATGGAATTTTGAGCAAAATTTTTGTGCAGGTTTTGTGCACTTTTATCTGACAAGATCAGCTCCATAAGCACTTCCTCTTCAGTGTTCAAAGGAAAAATACTTCTCTTCTAGATGTATTCTGCTTTTTTCTAAAAGATACTAGGTACTAGAAACGGAGTCACCTACAGTATAAAAATCGTAGCTACGGTACAAAAATATCCCACAATACAAGTGTGTAAACTGCATCTTTAATCTTTTCCATTTTTTGTTTTAACATACATATTTTGTGGCTGTATTTTGATTTGTATTTATATTCCTTTGTTGCTTTGCTTATGATTGCTCTTGAACAAGCCTATGCTACTTCTGAAGAGATGACTTATTTTCAGATTTTAGAGCAACAAATTAATACTGAATCAAACTGATACACCGGAAACCCAATACTAACATTTGCTGACATTTTTTTTTTATTGACAGTACTATTATTCAGTGAGAATATTTCCTGGTCAAGAACCTGCTAATGTCTGGGTGGGCTGGATTACATCTGACTTTCACCAGTATGACACAAGCTTTGACTTGGACAGAGTGCGTACTGTCACAGTTACACTGGGAGATGAAAAAGGGAAGGTTCACGAGAGGTTGGTTACAATTTTCTTAAAAAGATACATATTTTATACCCATAAAAGCAACTAAAATTTTATAAACTCTAAATTCACCCTCTTTAATGTAATTGGGTTGATGTTTAAAAAAAAAAAAAGTAATTGTTTGTGAAGAAACTGGGGTAATAATCTAATCAAATCAATGGACACTGAAAAGTAAAACAGCGCAGCTTTTCTATGTAGTTTTAGATGATGATCCTGTGAAAATTCACTTCTGAACTGTTAAAAAGTAGAGAAAAATACTTCTTTTTTTTTAACTTTTTAATATCGAGAAGGCCAAAATTAGTACAACAACAATGCTCAGCACTTCAGCTTGTGATCCATGCCAGAAACTTTGTTATGCTTAACATTAAATGATTTAAAACGTTAACTTGCAAAGTCAGTTTTGTCTCTTGGAATTTTACAAAAGATTTGAGCTTGTTCATATTTTGTCATCTTCAGTTTTTATTTTTTCAATTATGAAACCTAGGTTTCATTGAATTTTGACATTGTTTATGGTGGGTTCTGCTGTTTTCAACTACAAGGCCCTGTTGATTGCAGCCATACGAAGTTGTTCTTAGTCCACTGCATAATGTTTGCACACCATCCATAAATAAATTTGTCTTTTGATATTCAGTATAAAACGCAGCAACTGCTATATGGTGTGCGCAGGAGAGAGCATGAGCCCCGGACAAGGACGTAATAATAATGGTCTGGAGATTGGTTGCTTGGTTGATGCTGCCAGTGGCCTGCTGACCTTCATGGCTAACGGCAAGGAACTAGGCACTTACTATCAGGTGAGGTTGTTTTGATGATGATGTCCAGTGTGAAGGGGGAAAATCAAATCCTTAGACTGCATCATATCATAAACTATTGTACAAGATTGGAAGAAAAAGTAACTGTCGCTGTTATGACAGTGATTTTTTTTTTCCCCTCCTATTTGGATTTTCTGGGTTTTTATTCATAGGCTTGTACTTATTGACTGTCAATACAGATATTAGTTAGTGTTTTTTTAATATGTAATTGTGGTTTTAGTGTCTGTCTTTGGTTATATATTTGTGCATCTGTGATTTAGGTTGAACCAAGTACAAAGTTATTTCCTGCTGTATTTGCTCAAGCTACAAGCCCCAATGTTTTCCAGTTTGAATTGGGAAGAATAAAGGTAAGTATCATTTGGCTTTGGTGCAGGTTGAGGACCAATATATGACATCAAATAATCTTCCCCCCCCCCTTCATTGCCTGCAATATGTTCTTGGTATGGGGCACATTCTTATGATTCTAGGTTGTTTGCACTATTGCTGTTTTTATTCTTTAACTCAGTTTAAATACTACATGTATTTAAAATACACTATGTTAGATGAGAATGGTTGTAACTGATTAGAATTAGCTGGGGATATTGCAAAGTCCCATTGATATTTTATGAATCTCACCCTTCATGATGAAATGAAATCATTGGGGTCAATAAGGCAAATGTCTTATTCTACAAACAGAGCATGAAAGATGATGAAACTGATTGTCTCTTCTGTTGGAATTTTCCAGAATGTAATGCCATTATCTGCTGGGTTATTCAAAAGCGAACACAAAAACCCAGTCTCTCAATGTCCTCCACGTCTCCATGTCCAATTTCTGACGCATGTGCTCTGGAGCAGAGTGCCAAACCACTTCTTGAAGGTTGATGTCTCTCGGATCAGTGAACGTCAAGGCTGGATGATACAGTGCCTGAATCCTTTGCAGTTCATGGCCCTTCACATTCCCGAAGAAAACAGGTTGATGTTTGTGTTGAACTATGTCAGAGCTAGGTTAGGATTATGAAGCTAGACATGTTAGAAAATTTCTGTAAGAAAAGCTCAAGGTCTTCTCAGCATTTATAACTCATGTAAATAAAAGCAGTGTGTTTTGAGTAAGCTACTATTAAAAATTAATCATATTTTTCATTGTTTTAAAATCTGCCTCCTTTTTTTGTTTTTCCAACCTCTCCTAGTTTCTCTCTAAACTCTTTAATAGTATGTATAGGTTTGAATGAAAATGAAAGGAACTCTGTTTATAAATTATTAAAGATAATCTGTAAAATAAGCAAAGATCTGTTATTGTAGAGGTATTTTAAGATTTATGACCAACTTAATTATTCCATTATTCTAATTTTACTACGTTTAGTTTAAGCTAGTGAAGAAACTTAACCCTGTGATTTCCTTGTTACCCAAATGTTTCAGCATTTTGCCAGTGCCAAACTGAAAATAAAATCAATAAAAAATTAGGTAAGAACTCTAAATAAAGCAACCCCGCCCCTGAACCCTCTGCAAATGAACTGGCTAGTCTGTTGCCATTTTGCGACCACTGATCTAAAAACCACACATGCTATAAATATATCAACCTATGCTAATTTAAAAACCTTCATTTTCAATTATCCAAATTCTTGTTTGTATTATGAAGAAGTATTCTTTTTTAAGCAAACAATTTTGATCTTTCCCACTGAAATGAATGGAAGTTGTACTCCAGGAGTGACTTAATTAAATTGCTGATGGAACTTTGTTCTTAGTCCTCAATTCTTAGGCTGACAGTGTTTCTCACATGAAAGTGAAAATGTGGAAAATGTCCTAGAACTGGTATTGTGCCAGTGTTATCCTTACGCACAATTTTGATTTCCTTCACTTAAGTAAGTTTTTGCACTGATGTGGAATTTACTGTATTGTTTTTTTCTCTGCAGAACAATTGATATTTTAGAGCTGACAGAACAAGAAGAATTGCTGAAATTTCACTACCATACCCTCCGATTATATTCAGCTGTTTGTGCTTTAGGCAACAACCGAGTGGCCCATGCTATGTGTAGCCATGTGGATGAATCTCAGCTCCTGTATGCTATTGAGAATAAATATATGCCAGGATTATTACGTGCAGGCTACTATGACTTACTCATTGACATCCATCTCAATACCTATGCAACTGCCAGGTTAATGATGAATAATGAATTTATAGTTCCAATGACAGATGAGACAAAGAGTATTACTTTGTTTCCTGATGAAAACAAAAAACATGGCCTGCCTGGTATAGGACTTAGCACTTCATTAAGACCAAGAATGCAATTCTCTTCTCCGAGTTTTGTAAGCATTAATAGTGAATGCTTTCAGTTCAGTCCTGAATTCCCTCTGGAAATCTTAAAGGCCAAAACCATAGAGATGCTGACTGAAGCTGTTCAGGAGGGCAGCCTCCATGTCAGAGATCCAGTTGGAGGGTCTACAGAATTTTTGTTTGTCCCTCTCATCAAGCTCTTTTATACCCTCCTAATTATGGGAATCTTCCACAATGGGGATCTGAAGCACATCTTGCAGTTGATTGAGCCCCGCGTTTTCAAAGAAGCAATGAGCCAGGAGGATGAAATTGATTTCTCAGAGAAGAAGCTGAGTTCAGAGGAGCTTAAGTCAGAAGAAGTAGAAGAAGAAAACAGAGGAGAGCAAGTGCCAAAGGAAGGACTCCTTCAGATGAAACTTCCAGAACCTGTTAAATTACAGGTAACAATACTGCTGTGATAGTGATTGTTCCCACTTCTTCACAGATCCTTTTTTTCTTCACTTGGTAATTTCTCTTTCAAGGACTACAGAATTGAATTATATCAAGTTAAATATCAAACCTATTTCATTGTAGGGCACAACAAGATTTAGTATCTTGCTGATGATATAAACTTGTTCACGATAGATCAAACAACTGCTGTTTCATTAAACAGCATTAATTTCCCAATGACACTAACAGGGAATTCTTCATTTTTGTGGATCCAGACAGAAAAGAAATTCCTTTGAAGAAAGGGCTAAATACATTCTCTTATAATGTTAATAGAACTCTTACATTTTATATATCTGAGGCAGATGCCAGATACTCCTGGTGTAGGATTACTTCACATGTAGTAAACAACAGCATTGAAGATTTTAGTCCCTTTAGTAGCTGATAGTCACTGCTGCTGTAAGGAATCCATCCTTATCTGCATAATGTAACAAGGTATTTCTTAGCTTGCAACTCTTCTTTCTGTTATGATGCTGTTTTCTCAGATGTGTCATCTACTTCAGTACCTGTGTGATTGCCAAGTACGACACCGAATAGAAGCCATTGTAGCATTTTCGGATGATTTTGTGGCCAAGCTTCAAGAGAATCAGCGCTTCCGGTACAATGAAGTAATGCAGGCCCTGAACATGTCTGCTGCTCTGACAGCTAGAAAAACAAAAGAATTTCGATCCCCACCTCAGGAACAGGTACAGCTTACAATGGACAGTTTTTTATCTGTTGTGCTCTGTGTGTGGCAGAGTTCTGTTTGATTCCAAAGGGTTTCCTTTTGGAGGTCAGTGTCATTGCGCTTTACTTTGTATTCTTTAAGATTAACATGCTGCTGAATTTTAAAGATGATAAAAATGATTGTCCTTGCCCTGAAGAAATTCGGGATCAACTCTTGGATTTCCATGAAGACCTAATGACACACTGTGGTAAGTAGTCTTACTCAATATTTCTACTTTTAAAATTAAATTAGCTTTAGAAGAATTTTTTCTAAATAATTTTACTTAAGAAACACCAACTAAGTAGTCTATAGATCATGCTATATCAGTTATGAATTACTATCAAAGAAAGATACACAGCTTGTAGTCAAAACCAAGGAAATGTTCTTATATCTGGTCAAACTAGAAGGGAATACAATATGCTTTGCTTCATGAGGGAAAAGTTGTTTTTTTTGGTTTTTGGTTTTTTTTTTTCACCATACAACTCTGCGAATAATGCTGTATCTCACCTGTTATTCAAGGCGTTCCTCTGCCCCATCCCCCTTCTCTTACACTCTCTTGCATAGGTTGGTAGAGGTTGTCTTTGCTGTATCTAGTTGACTATGGCCATGGTAACCACAGTATAATATAATATTAGTGGCTGATTCTTCTTGGACATGCATGAAGATACAAAAATTGTCATGTATTGAAATATACTAATAACCAAAAGGAGCAGTTAAATCTGTGGTTTTGATTTCTCACTTCAGTTGATGAAGGACAATTAAATTCTATGCATAATAAGATAGGAAATATAGGAACATTTTAAATACAAAGATACCAATATAAAAATGAAGTACCAAAATGTCTATTTTAGATGTCAAGCTCATATGAATGAATCAGGGCTGGAGCACCTCTCCTATGATGAAAGGCTGTGAGAGTTGGGCTTTTTCAGCCTGGAGAAGAGAAGGCTCCAGGGAGACCTTATTGCAGCCTTCCAGTGCCTGAAGGGCCTACAAGGAAGCTGGGGGGGACTTTTTACAAGGCCCTGTAGTGATAGGACAAGGGGTAACAGGTTTAAATTGAAAGTGGGGAGGTTTAGATTAGATATCAGGAAGAAATTCTTCACAGAGAGGGTGGTGAGGCACTGGAACAGGTTGCCCAGCGAAGCTGGTAACCCAAAACTAGATGTAGTATTCCAAATACCATCTGACGAGAGCCAAGTACTGGGGAATAATCGCTTGCCTTGAGCTAGTGATTATGTTTCTGCTAATACAGGATATTTTTAGCTCTCCTTTCTGTTAGACTGCACTGCTGACTGGTGTCTACCTTGCTGTCTGACAGAATCTTCAAAGTTCTTTTTACTAAGATGTTTTTTTGATCAGTTCATGCCCAGGCTGTATTGTCACAAGGGGTTGGTCTGTCGAAGTTGCAAAATTTTCCATTGGTCCTTGCTGAAGTTGGAGTGTCCTGCCAGCCTATACCTCTACCCTGTTGAGCTTCCTGCCCTTCAGTGCATTTTCTGCTCCCCCTGATTTGTATCATCCACAAACTTGATGAAGGCCCATTATGACACCTCAAATGAAATATTTTTATTTTAAATGAAAAAAGAAAATAGAAAAAAGAAACAGAACATTCAAAATAAACTGTCAGTTGGCAGAAAATGAAGGTGAAATAAAGAATTTAGAAACAACGTTTAAAAGGAGAAGAGGCTTTATTTTTCTCTTTGATTTTTTCCATTTTTTTAACATCATTCTCTTATGTTCAAATTACTTGGTCTAGTTTTGTCATTATTTTTCTTTCTTTATTGGGAAATGATAATTTGCATACTCTTCCATTAGAAAAATAATTTTGTGGATCAGAGGAGGCATTACAGTAGAACAGAATTAATTACTCTGTGTATTCAAAATATAGTGATTGCAAATTAGGTAAAACAGTTACACATCCTGAGTCCTATCGTTGGTTGATTAGCCAGTCGCCACTTGGGGATTCACATCTTCTGAAATGGTTCAGAGGCAATTACATTGGTGGTTTGCAAATCAGAAAAGTACAAGTAAAGTTCAGGGAACAGCTTAACTGTGGGAAAATAGACATTTCATTTTAGTAATTTCAGAGCATCTCTGTGTTCTAATTGATGACATTTCAGTGCCTTTACTATTAATTAGTTTGGTTGAGGAGACTGCTACCCAAACCGTTTTGTAGTATGATTTGGTGAAAAATGTTACTGATGATCCTTGTTTAGTATAGAGTCAATTACTCTCTTGAGAAAAAATATAACAAAATAACTTTTAATGGAAATGGAACAGTACTTAATACAAAAAAACCCAGACAATTTAAAATACATGCAAAAAATTTTAAGAATTACGTAATATCATGAAGAAATGGCCTATAAAATTCAAGACTGCTAAGGAGCTCCCCACAAACCCCTTAACCTCAGAATTTATATTGTAATCTGAAGAACCCAGAAAAATATTTGAATGACCTTTGAGCTTGTTTTAATGTGAGTAATAGGTATAGGTTGAGATTTTTAATTCCTTTACAATGTATGCATGAATGCATAAATTTGAAAACTGGAGAGAAATGAGCTGACAGGAATCCCATGAAGTTCAGCAATGGGAAGTGCAAAGTCCTGCACCTGGGGAGGAATAATTCCATGCAGCAAGGACAGGCTAGGGATCAAACTCGAAAGTAGCTTTGCAGGAAAAGACCCGGGAGTCCTGGTGGAGAACAAGCTGAGCATGAGCAGCAATGGGCCTTGTGGCAAGGAAATCCAGCAGCTGGGGTCACAAGTAAGAGACACAGACATGGATGCACTGTATTGAATCCAGGGAGTTGGAATCAAAGATGCTTAAATTCTTGGAGCATCTTATATATGAGGAGAGACTAAAAGGACTGGGGTTGTTTAACTTGAAGAGGAAGCTTATGGAGGGGTTGTATCAATGCATATAAATACCTCTTGGGCGGGGGGAGTAAAGGTGTCTGAGCCAGGCTTTCCTTACTGATGCCTTGTGACAGCACAAGTGACAATGAACACAAATTGAAATATAGGAAATTCTACTGATTTTTGTTTGTTTCGTTACTGTAAGGGTGATGGAACTCAAGAATAGATTGCCCAGAGAGGTGGAGGAGTTTCCACCTTAGGAGATACTAAAAATCTGGCTGGACATGGTCGTGAGCAACCTGCTCTAGTTGAACCTGCTTTGAGCAAGGAGGCTGGACTAGATGATCTCTAAAGGCTCCTTCCAACCTCAGCTGTTCTGTGAATCTGTAAAGCCTCACATGCGTGGGTTTTTTCTGTGTTGTTTTTTTTTTTTAACACGTTCGTAGCTTGTTATGCTCCTTCCAACCTCAGCTGTTCTGTGAATCTGTAAAGCCTCACATGCGTGGTTTTTTTTCTGTGTTGGTTTTTTTTTTTTAACATGTCTGTAGCTTGTTACAGGAATATCATGAAACAGACACTGTATTGAGAAGGTGACTACTTTCTTCTGACTGGTCACTAGAAAGTATATTTATTATAACTTCAGTTCTTTCACTTCTATGATATGTTTTACCTAAAAATCTCCTAGTCTTTACTAGTATTGGTTGCACCATACTGTGGCAGTAGGGACTATATCTGCACTTCTGAGCTACATATGTCCAAAAGAGGCATCTGCATTAGCATGGAAACATGCATGCTGGGGAATTTGACCACAAAAATATATTTACTATGTATTTTATGTATAATAACACACAATTTATACAGTAAGTTAGTATGATTACGTGATCTTTATCTGTAATTTGCTGCCTCATCCATACTTGTTTCAAACTGCTGGTTAAGGATATCCCATATCAAACTCTTTTGTAGCTGTAACTGTTCAATCTGATTATGTTTGTACATACAACATCCAAAACATGCTTTTAAGTTGTTTAATTTTATTCTTTTACTATTAACTGTATATTTTTTTAATTTCAGGGATTGAACTAGATGAAGATGGGACCTTGGATGGAAACAGTGACTTAACCATTAGGGGTCGTCTCCTATACCTTATGGAAAAAGTTACATATCTGAAGAAGAAGCAAGCTGAGAAGCCAGTTGATGATGATGCTAAGACATCCTGTAAGCAATATTAAATCAGTTTATTGTATCCTAATTCCAAATGGCAAGAGAAGAGGGGAGGAAGTTCTTAATATATTTTCAGAAAAAACAAGGTGAATTTTTAGTGAAACGTCTGTGCACCTTAACGTTTATAGCTCTGACTCAAAACAAGCTCAGATGGAATTCTTATATTAGGCAGATTTGTTTGCCAGTGGAGTGTGGTAGAAAATTTCTTCTACTGGCTTTTTCACCCCTGATTCTTTTTCAAGTAATAATTTTTCCAGAATGTGTTTTTCTGTTTGTAGAATTGGTGCAGACTTAATATTTGTAGCAAGGTCCTGATTATGAGAACTTGATAGTACAGTCAGCTGCAGCAGCTGATACTCAAACGAGTATTTGCATGAAGATCACCAAATTAGAGACGACTGCGATTAGACTGTAATTTGCAAAACTGTACTTAGGAGAAGCCTCCCCACCCAACCTAACATTCAAGATTTTCTGACTGTGGTTGTTCTGTCATTTTTCTGACACTTTCTGCCTTTCCTTTTTGATATGAAACATTGCCAGTGGCATCCAAGTTCTGCACTTGATGCCAACTGATTATAGAATTTTATTTATTTTTTACTTGTCAATGCTGATCTTAATTATAATTTTTTTGCTTTATTGTGGTGGGTAGTACTTTGCAATGTTCTATTTTTTTTATACTGCTACCCTACTAGGAGGAATGAATTTCTGGGCACACAGTTCAGGTATTCTGACTTGGGTAAAAATCTTGGTTTCCATCATTGACTACACAGAATTCCAAGGGAGACTGGCCTTTTAACTTGGTTGGTTAATGCAAATGCCTGAAGTTCTGGGCTTTCCCCAGGGTACTTACACTGCGATGGCTTCTTAGCTGCCAGTTATTAGTGTTAGTTTAGTTTTCTTTTAAGTAGAAATATTTGTCCTCATAAGTGTGCCTTCTAGCTTTGCAGTTTGTAACTGTTATTTCAGTTATCAGGCAGTGATAATTAGAGGCTAGGTCTTTGCAGAATGTGGTGATGAATCCTACAGCTTCCTAATGTTTGTTTGGTTGGGATTTTTTTTTTTTATGTAGTAAGCCTAAAGCTCTACAAAATTTAATTTTCTCTCTCTCATGTTAGTAGAAAGACAGCATTATGTTATACAAATTCCATACAACCCTTGAGAGCAAATAAGCACCCACACAACTCAGTATTGTGGTGGCTAGGCTGCTTGTCTTCTTCATTGCAAGCAAGGCAACAGCCAGACACACCGGTAGGTGGGATGCAGTATTGCAGTTATCAAAACAGGAGCCAAATGACAGCCTGCTCATGTGATCCTTCACAAAAACCGAAGGAAGCTTACCATTGTGTTCCTTCTTATTTATTTATTTCAATCCTTCTGAAATATCAGCCACATTATCAAATGAATTTCATCCTTTTACTTATTTTTAAACTGTTTTTATTCTAAAAAAATGCTAAGCTGCATGACAATGGAAATGCCTATAGTGTTGGGACAGTAACAATAAAATACAGTAGTATTGCTCTATTTTTCCCTTACCGTGTATTAGCAGTTCTTAGCACAAATTACCATCTTTTTTTAAACATTGTTTTCTGTAAACTCTTGTCTGTTCAATATCTTTCTTTAAGTACTTTTATTTTTATGTTTTCCTTGTTTGCGTTTGGCATGAAATTGCATTTGGTTTACTCCAAATCCATCGTAATGTTTCAAGACATAGATTTCTAATTTGAAAATATTTTTGATTGATTGTTTGCATCAGCCACCTTCTTCAACATCAGGATATTTATTAGGTAGTTTATTGAACTTCAGGAGGCATTATCAAATTTTCCTTGTCAGGCTTTCACGGTTATCTGCTTAACATGGGAATAAATTGGTTAGTTGGGTAAGTACTAAAGGTGAAATTCTCTAGTGTATATAACTATGAGGAGGATCCTGATCTCATCTGACAAAGTCTTGCAAATCTGAATGGAAGTTCCCTGAGATGGAAAAAAGCACATTATTGAATTGTCTTTATCAAATACTTTGCCTTCACTGTTAGTTCATGAGTAATTCTTCTGAACAGTAGTCTCAAATCTTAACTGACATTATATAGCTTGTCTGTTTTAACATGACTTTCCCAAATATAAATATACACACATATCCCAACTAATAAAAATTGCCAGTGAGAATATCAGATATGGGTTTGTTGCTTCATTAGATACTGAATTCAAAATATGCAGATAATTATGTGCCATTTATTTGTTTGGAATCTCTTAATTTCTCTTTCATATGAAGGGCCTTTGGTTTTAGGCAAGGACTAAGTTAAATTATTCTGTTCTGTACATTTAAAAAATTTTGAGTGTATATAGACTTTGGACATGTAAATATACAGTACAAAATTTACAGTCTTTTTACAGTATTTTTACAGTCTTACTTCATGATATGTAAGAAAACCCCTCAGACCTGAATTCCTGGAAAGATCTTGAAAGAAATATGTAGAAATAGAGCTGGTGACATTGTGAGCATCTTGTATGTCTTCATAATTTTTTTATGTTATCAGATTTATTTTCTGTACTTTAATTTTAAGTATAAGCTTTTGGTTTTGAATTGTTTCTGCTTCTCTTGCCTGTTTTTATTTTCCTTTGGCAGGCTGCTAAAGAAATACCAAGAAAAAGGTTGTTATTAAGAACGTAATTCATTCCAATTTATGTGCATAATGAGTTCTGAGAGATGAGCAATTAATGCTGATTTTTTTATGTTTGTGTTTGGTTTTTTTTTTCCCCTCCCCCACAGCTACTCTTCAGCAGTTGATTTCAGACACAATGGTACGCTGGGCCCAGGAATCAGTGATAGAAGACCCGGAGTTAGTGAGGGCCATGTTTGTATTGCTACATCGCCAGTATGATGGTATTGGTGGCCTGGTTCGAGCCTTACCGAAGACCTACACCATAAATAGTGTGTCTGTGGAAGACACAATCAATCTACTGGCATCCCTTGGCCAAATCCGTTCCTTGCTTAGTGTCAGAATGGGGAAGGAAGAAGAGAAACTTATGATTCGTGGATTAGGGTAAATAACATCTCTTTATTTACAGATGTTTGTTGCTGTTTGCTGTATGGTTATGGTCAAGGTTATGCGTGAAATCTGAATGTGAACAGTCAACATGGGTGTAAATGCAGACACTGGTATCAGTTGCGTAGTGTCTTCTCTTGTAAGATACCGCCTTCGCAGCTTTATATGCATCATTTTTGGAGAGAAGCAGATGACATCAGTAAGATGTGTGAGAAGTTGAAAACATGTATATAATGTTTTATGATATTACAAGATATGTCTTGTTACCGTGTTTTAAGCAGTATGCCTGTGAGGAATCCTGTCAAGAATACTGTCCGTTTTATATGAGTGCAGTGACTGGTAGCTGTTGGTACATACAATTCCTTCCAGCAGTCAGATAACGGAGTTGTCTACATGTTTTACAAACACCACCTTTTAATTGCACTGAATGTAGTTGGTGCTGTTTGCACGAAGAAGTAGTTAACACAGGATTTCTAATTATATTATTAATAATAGTGAAATATATCCTAATAAGGAGTACACTTGGAGAAAACTGTAAAGAAAATATGATCTTCTCTATGAGCAAAGAGTCTGGCTTTCCCTCTTACTTTGTTCAAAGAAATATTACCATCTGCGGGATGTCTGGTGAGATTAAACATCAGCTGTGATCTATTAGGAATCCCCAGTCAGCAAGAGCAATGGCAACCAAAGATAGCATTATATAAACAATGTCAGGAATGCAAGGACAAGAGAAGCTTTTGTTGTGCAAAGTAACTTTTTCTTTTTTTTGAGCTTACTGAAAATCTCAAATATCCAAATAATGTCTATACATAATTTTATAGTGTCATTATGAACCATGCCAACTTCTTAGCTTGCCAGCAAGTCCCATCAGTGTCTCATGTTTGTTGCAATGTTTAGTGTACTCATGCTAAAGCTTTGGCCAAGTGGAATGTCTGTCATCTGTCAAGAGACACAAAATACTGGTATTTCTAAATCCACCTTAGTACTTCAAATTTGAGTTGTTACATTTCACTTAACCTAATGAAGTCAAAAATGTGTGAGTGATTACTAGATTCTGGCAATCTTGTGCATGGGAAAAAATAAATCTGAGGGCTTTACGTTTCATGTTTTGCTTTTCCTGGTTGTGTGTAATTTCGGGACTAATTACACCTTTTAGAAATGTAAGTAAGTTTAAACCAGACATTTTTGTTGTACATAACATGTCTGCATCTGATTGTAATCTCAAAATACTAACATTATAATCTTCAGGATTGGTTTTAAAGTGTGTAAATATGTTCTGCGGAAATATGTAGGAGAGAAGAGTTCTTTTGAGCAGTAACTCATGAACTAAGGTTAAAATTTATTCAGCTTCTGTTTTTGATGCTTAGAGGATCACTGGATATACGTTCTCCTTCCCCTGCAATTGTTTTTTCTTGGTTTTGAGAGCAAATGTCAAATGTATCAAGGTTGAAGTATTCTAAAAAGTAGGCTTTGTCAAAAATATTGATTAGCTGAATTTAAAATTAAAGTAGTTATAGCAGTTTTGATCATGGTCTTGTCAGAAAATGTATTTAGATCTGGAATGGAATTTCTAATGAAAATAGAAGAACATCCTACTCTGGTGTAATCAAGTGGTGATTAGGGCAATAATTATACTATGGGAAAAGAAAGGTCAGGTTTTTCCAAAATGTGCATAGAAAAATAGATTATCAGGAGAGATTGAAACTCAACCTAAAAAAAATCCTTGAGGTAATTTTTCACCTCATATGGTGAAGAATTGCACAATATATTAGCCTTGCAAATAACATAGTAGGTGAACTGTTGGTCCATAACATTTTAATCCGATTTTGTAAATTTTGTTTTCCTGTAGAGACATCATGAATAATAAAGTATTTTACCAACATCCAAATCTCATGAGAGCTTTAGGCATGCATGAAACTGTCATGGAAGTGATGGTAAATGTGCTTGGTGGAGGAGAATCCAAGGTAAATCTATTCACTGTTAGAAGACAGAGTTTAGAAGATAGCTGTTTAAAACTTTATCCAGCAATGTGCTGAGCAGTCACTGGAGTTACTGAGACCATAACCTCCTACTAATTTTCATTAGAACAGTGGTAGACTAAGTTTTTAGAAGAATCTATTCTTCCCTTCTGGAGGAAGATATAATTAACATTTCAAATGCTTTAAAGAAAAAACTACAAATAGCACTTTATATGTTTACTGAGGTGGAGATATTTTTAGAAATATTAAAAATGGATGTATTGTGAGCATTCACATTCTTTCATGTTTGAATCTAGAATTTATGGGGGAACATAGCTCTTGTTTTTCAAATTTATAAGAGGTTTTAAACCCTTGATCCTTGGGGCTTAAGGAGCTTTTTACTTGCCAAGAAAGCCCTGTTGATTCTGGGGTGAAACCTAACCAGTTAACTTCACTAGGGTGCAGTGAATACAATGCATAAATATCGGTGTGTTAAAAGGCTGTTACATAAATGGCCTTTTGTTGTTTTATGCCTGTCTTAGAGTTTAAGCTTCAGTCTGGTTTTATTTGCTTCTTAGGAAATCACTTTCCCAAAGATGGTGGCAAACTGCTGTCGTTTCCTATGTTATTTTTGCCGCATCAGCAGGCAGAATCAAAAAGCTATGTTTGATCATCTTAGCTATTTATTGGAAAACAGCAGTGTTGGCCTTGGTAAGTAGTAAGTATGTGGCTTTTGAAATTCTAAACCAAGAACAAAATTGCATATATATATATGTATATATATAAAAAGAGAGAGATATATTTAGAAAAAAACCCGAACATGTATGTGTATAAAACCACTTGTGTTTTTCTGCATTCCTCTGTTCATGCCCTCTGTGTTGAAGTTTGTCCTTTACCCAGTGCAAAAACATCTTTGTTAACTGTATTGCTAACTCAAAACCCTGACAATAGCATTAAGTTGAGGCAATCTAATACACACTATTTTGTATGTTAAAAGACAGTTGATGTTTAGCTGCACATTTTGAGGAACTGAAGCAAATCCTGATTTTGATGCAGAAAATGATGAATAAGTGCTGGCAGAATTTCATTAGGACTTACTTCTCACTGCTCAAGCTTGCTACCCTGGACTTTGCTCTGTAGATGGTATATGCTTATGGCAGTGGGAGTAATACAGAGCTCATTTGCTTTGGTATGTGTGTATAGATGCCCAAAAATGAACCCTGATACTTTCTTAAACTGTTATCCTTTCTGTTTTCTAGGCTGAAGTGTTATAGAGGAGATACATTTCTCCTTTATTTAATTTAGTACTTGTAATTGAGAATATATAATTATTTAGAATCATCATAGTAATTTTGTTGATGATAACAAATTCCTTAGTAATGTATAGGTACAGGACAGAAGCGTAAAGTAAATACCTTTTTTGAGAGAAAGTCCCCAAACTGAATGCAACTGGAGTGTTAATGTGAAAAACTGTAGCTTTTTCTAATGCTATAATGACTACCAGTTTTTAAAGAAATAGGTAACATACAGTCTTATATTATAAAGCTTAAAGATATATTCTGTTCCAATACATTTGACAAAATGTCAGTGTTTTAGATATAAAATCCCCACTACTTTTTCCTCTAAAGAAGTTGCATCAGTTAGGAAAATTAGAAGGAATGAGAACTTAAAACAAAGTATGTGATGAGAATAGCAATGTGTAAAAATTTTTTTTCTAGCTTGAATATTTACAATGTATGTTAATTTCATATCTATGTCAAATTTGTACAAGTGTGGGATGATTCATTATAAACTGAGTGGCATAAATGATATTCCTATAATCATGTGCTAACTAATAAAAAAAATTTATTTTTAAAAAATTGCTCATGTATTTCCTATTAATTTGTTGGGTTTTATGAAGTTGGTTTTGAAACTAAATTTTATTTTAACAGCCTCTCCTTCTATGCGAGGATCAACGCCTTTAGATGTTGCAGCAGCCTCTGTGATGGATAACAATGAACTTGCACTAGCTTTAAGAGAGCCTGACCTGGAGAAGGTTGGTAGCTTCTTTACCAAGCATTTTATTTTCCCATGTAAGTGGGGGAAAGTTCCTGTTTCCAGGAGGAACCAAAATCCAAGGTTATAAGAATTATATGGGAGTTTTACTAACTCCCATAGGAAGGCTATCAGGATCTGATTGTTTGTTCTTTCTGCTGGTGGTCTGGATAGTTGAACTGAGTTTATGGTTAATATGTACACAGGTGTGTTTGGAAAGGAATTGCCTCAAGTGCAGGTCTTACTTTGGGAATAGTGGAGTAAATGTCCAACAAATCTTCACTGCAAAAATCTGTCTTTTTTATCTTAATGGTGACATGTTGTGGTGGCATAATACAAATGAAGTTACTGGAAGCCTTGTGACAATTTGTTACAATATATCATAAACATTCATGGAGATAATTACCTATATCTATCTGCATTTTTTCCTAATATTTAAACCTGCTTTAGAAAAGATTGAAGGAATTGCGATTAAGTAGACTAGGAATAAAAAACTCAATAGAGCATGTGACAGTTGTGTAGAAAATGTGAATTGGTGCTGCAAGAAAGAGTAGAATAATAGTTACTGTGTCAGTGGTGGATAAGAAAAGTGGCTTAAATATGGGAAGACAGATTCAAGACAGACACTAAAAAGCATGTTGTAATGGGAGGTAAGACAGTGGAATACATTGTCCAATTTGTCGTTGAAGACCTCCAATTCTGGACATGCTATAACTTTCATGGGAAAGCATCTGTCAACAGTAATGTAAGTGCAGATGATCCTTTCTTGGAATAGAAAGATGGACTATATGTGTTTTAAAAGACATTTTTAAACTTATCATTCCTATAAATGGTCAGCAAAAAGAAGCTGTCTGGTTAAAGGCTATGCAATTACAATTCAGGAAGCAGACAATCAGCTGAAAACTACTACTGTAGGTGTGAATTAAACTGAGTGTTACCGCTGTGTGTCTAAAATGAAAGAAAGAAAAAAGGCCAATAAAGAGAAAAGGTTAAAATAAAAGAGTAGACCTGTGAGTTATATTAGAAGATTTGTTTTTCAATATGGATAGTGTGTAATTGGGGAATACTACAAAAATGACTAATTTGTAATGCTCAGGGTTGCAAGAGAAATGAAATGTAGATAGCAAAGCAGTGATTTAGAGCAAGGAAAAATGGAATTGAGATATGTAAGGCTTTGCAGTTCTTGGCAGAAGTAGGAAAAGACTGGGAAAGTGAACTAAAAATGCTGTTCTCCTGATATGTGGAATATACAAATATGGTTTTGTCAGGGATAAATGTGGACACATTCTCTGAGACAATGTATGATCTTGCTTCCCTTTGAAACTGCACTTCTTTTTCGCAGTTAATATCTTTTTCACCTTACCTTGCTTTTAGGTGGTTCGCTACTTGGCTGGATGTGGATTGCAGAGTTGTCCTTTGTTGATTTCTAAAGGCTACCCAGATATAGGATGGAATCCAGTTGAAGGAGAGCGATATTTGGATTTTCTTCGTTTTGCTGTATTTTGCAATGGTAGAGTAGAAGCCTATAAATTTTATAACTTTCTCTAATGTTCACCTAAGTTTGCTATTTAAATGACAAATAAAAGCCAACCTGATAAGTTACTGTAAATTGAAAAGACAGTTTGTGTGAAGAGTACTGTTATGAAAGACATACAGTAACTTATCAGGTTAAGGTCCTGTGAGCCTATACTCCGTTGTTTAGATCCATCTTTAGTCTTTGAAATGCCCACATCTCCTTTGGAAGTAGAGTAGGGAGCCTAAATATTTTTATAATAAACCCCATGCTAGTCATAGAGCCAAACATCCATCTTTGGATGAGGATTTAGATAGTCAAAATTTAGTGTTTAGCAGATATATTGGTCCCCTCACTAACTCTCTCACTTTACTAAAAGTCAGTAGTTTCAGTGATGCTTTAAACATCCTTTATTACATAGTTACTTCTTCAGGTCTTTTTTTTTTTTTTAATTAAATAAAATGCTTTATTTTGTAGCTTTTGTTGCAATAATAGAAGAGTATGTTTGTGTGTTTATGTAACTCTTTCAGGATATTTAAACTGTTTCGTAGTTGAAAGGATCTACTGATGCATTCTGAACTTTTGTGTACCTTTTTCTGATTACATTTCAAGTCTTTGAGACAATCTTAAATCTTGTTATTGTTCTATGTGTTAGGAGAGAGTGTGGAGGAGAATGCTAATGTTGTAGTCAGACTGCTTATCCGTCGACCTGAATGTTTTGGTCCAGCTCTAAGAGGAGAAGGAGGCAATGGATTACTTGCTGCCATGGAGGAAGCAATACAGATATCAGAAGATTCAACAAGAGATGGACCTTCCCCAAGTAATGGATCTAGCAAAGCCCTGTAGGTTCAGTGGAATTGCTTACATTGCCATCATTTTTGTTTGTTTTATAATCTTAGTCTTGAAACGGCTTGTTTGTTTTAAGATCTGAATTATCAGCTAGATTGTTCCTTGGATCCTATGGAGGATAGAGATTTGTCTTCTACCAAATAGTGCACTGTTAATTTAGTGCACTATTAATTTAAGAAACTAAATATTAAATCCTCTTTAGAATTCGTGGCCAGCAGGTCGAGGGAGGTGATTCTGCCCCTGTACTCTGCTCTGGTGAGACCCCACCTGGAGTGCTGCGTCCAGCTGTGGAGCCCTCAATATCAGAAGGATATTGACCACTTGGAGCGAGTCCAGAGGAGGCCACGAAGATGCTCAGAGGGCTAGAGCACCTCTGCTATGGGGACAGGCTGAGAGAGTTGGGCTTGTTCAGCCTGGAGAAGAGGAGGCTCCGGGGAGACCTTATTGCAGCCTTCCAGTACCTGAAGGGCCTACAAGGGTGCTGGGAGAGGACTTTTTACAAGGGCCTGTAGTGACAGGACAAGGGGTAATGGGTACAAATTGAAAACAGGGAGGCTTAGATTGGACATCAGGAAGAAGTTCTTCACAGAGAGGGTGGTGAGGCACTGGAACAGGTTGCCCAGAGCAGCTGTGGATGCCCCATCCCTGGAAGTGTTCAAGGCCAGGCTGGATGAGGCTTTGAGCAACCTGGTCTAGTGGAAGGTGTCCCTGCCCATGGCAGGGGGGGTGGAACTCGATGATCTTTAAGGTCCCTTCCAACCCAAACCACTCTGTGATTCTATGATTCTGTTTGTTCTTTGTCTGTCAGTTAAAAATCAATCTCCTGATGCAAAATGAGACAGATAAATGACAGAACAATGCAGATGTCACCACAATCTTTTAGGGACAAATGTAGTCTGTGTGTGTCTGCTCAAATTCCACAAGTTAACAGGAAGTTACCGTATGTAAGCTGTTACATCTGTAAGGTGATTTTCCTTACTTATTGCAGATGTTAAAACCTTCTTGTATTTTTATTGTCTTTTCAATTTTTTAACATTTTAAATTTTTTTTTAATGTTTAACTAATTATAGTGAAATGGAAGAACAAGAAGATGACACTATTCACATGGGAAATGCAATCATGACCTTTTATGCTGCTTTGATTGATCTCTTAGGACGTTGTGCCCCTGAAATGCATGTGAGTTTTATATCTTCATGCCTTGGAAAGTAAGGACAGTTGTTGTACAGTTTCCTTGGTGGTTTTCTATTTGGCTTTTTCACAGTAACATGTTACCAAATATTAAAGCTGTGGTATGGCTATGTAGTATCTTAATGTACATAATGTGTTAATCTGCTAATTTGCAAGGAATTTCTGTAAACTATTCAGCAGCCGTTCTCAAAAGAACGTGGCCACTGCTTTTCTTCTTACTGTTCCCTTTGGTTGGTCTTCAACAACATTCTGTCATGAGTATTGTCCATTGTGACAATCAAACCCCTCAAGTTTCTCTATTCATTGTGATGATGCAGAGTGATTTGCTTCTTTTTTAAATGTGGTTTTGCTGTCTTCATGCACTTATTTAAACAGAGTGTTTAAATCATGTATAAAAAGAGTAAATGTTGTAGGGTATTCTTTTAAAACATAGGAATAAGCATCATCTCTGGACATACACATCGATATCTCATAATCTTTATTCACAATGACAAACCTTCACAAAGGTAAGATAGCACTATTTCAGCCATTAAATACAAAGTACTATACACACTGTAAAAAAACAAGCCCATACCACTTAGTTCTTAAGAGCTTGAAAGTATTTCAAAATACGGTCCTATTCATTAGAGATTGTACTTAGTTATGTGTAGTTTCTCATTTCACTCTGAAATGTGCCCTCATTCATATAGATCAGTATCAGATTTGTGCAGAGATGGATAATTTAAGAAAGGTGAGAGATAAAAATATAATAAGGTTAGTGTATGAATATCTGTTTTGTTTGAATAAAAAAGTTGTCTTGCTTTCTCCCTGTCTTGCTGCCTTTTTAAAAACAAAATCAAAACAACTGGGATACACAAAACTTGTTGTGATTTGGCCAGGAAAGAAAAACAGACTTTTTAAATCTGAAAACCTGATTTTGCTCTCTCCACCACTATATTTTGATGGTTTGTTCACCTGTTTTATATGGTTTGTTCACCTGTTTTACCTAACATTCAATTCTGAAAATGGGCTTAGTCTTATTTAATAACCAAACATCTAGATTTTGAGACTTTGCACATATGCTTCCAAAAGACGGAAAAAAAACACTCAAACCGGATTGCTTGAAAATTAGTAATTATAATGTGATTTTGACAGCAGTCATTCTTGTGTATTTATGGTTCAGGAAGTTTCCAGAACCTGAACACGTACACAAGATAAAAAGAAAACCTTGTTAATTTTTTGGTGGGTTTTTTATGTCTTTTCCTTAGCTAATCCATGCTGGGAAAGGGGAAGCCATTAGAATTAGATCAATTCTACGTTCCTTGATTCCACTGGAAGATTTGGTGGGAGTAATTAGTATCCCTTTCCACATGCCAACCATAGCTAAAGGTAAGATGATTGTTCTATTTTTTTTTTTCTCCCATCCTATTCTTATGTTTTGTCATTTAACCCCATATTGATACTCATACTTCTCTCAGTATTTAAAAATGTTACAGAAATAAACTATTTATTGTATGAAATAGAAATCATGTGTATTTCAAACATTTCAAAATTTTTTCTGCAGGCTATATGCAATAGTTCTGTGTACACTTAAATCACTGATATTCATCCCATTCATTTAAATTAAATTCCAAAAATCTATTACAATTTTAAAAAGAAATTTAAAAATGCATGCTTTCAAAAACAGTTTTTAAAATCACAGAACTTTTAAAAAATATCTTATCTTGATATATATCTTGATATATTCCTTAGATTTTGGTGTTCTAACCCTATGAATTGTTTCTAGCAGTCTTTACTAAGACACCAGAGTTGTTCCTCAGCAACTATGGTGAAATTATAGGTGTGACATACACATGCAAATGCATTTCTTAGCTTTCTGCCGTCATAGAAGTGATTGCAATAGTGGGAGCTATGTGAGCATCAATATCAAAGGGAAAGGTGTTACACCTACTGCTTTGGGTGTCTGGAGATAGAAAATTGCAGTTGCAACATGGGATGTCTAGGGACTTAGGGCACAAGAATACCCAATAGTTTAGAGTAGGAAAATCCAAAAGGTCAATCATTCTATTACACCATTATTTATTTACATTCCTAATAGTGATAGGTGTGTAGGTGGTGTCTCAGTAGCATAGAGTACAGCTCATAGATACAGAATTATTTGGCTTTGAAAATGAAAGTATAAAAATTTAAAAATATTTCAATGACTTCCTATGAGATATTTCAGGATATTTCTGATACAGAGGACTTCTTAGCACAACCTTAATTCACTGCCAAACATTAGATATGCTCACCAGTGCTTCATTCCTGGGGTGTTTGATGTAGAAATGTAGTATTTTTTACTTTCTGTCTGCTTCTTCTACTAACTAGTTAGTTCTCTAGATGAATTAGTATGGTTTGGGTACTTATCATACTAGAATATCAACTGATAAGAATCCCTTAATACACAAAGCATGAACAGAAAGATGTGTATGGACTTTGAGGTCCAGCTTGGTAGAACTTGCCCTATGGACTCTATTTCAGTTAGCTATGAATATGTTGCCTTTGTGTAAATAAAACCATGGGGAAGATGCTTAGTTGTTTAACAGACTCAAAATCTCTGACAAGTAGTAGCACTACCTAGTCTGCTGGTGAAGGATGATCCTTGTCATTGAAGTCTTATTTCTTCCTTTTAGATGGTACTGTGGTGGAACCTGACATGTCTGCGGGGTTTTGCCCAGATCACAAGGCAGCCATGGTTTTGTTCCTTGACAGGGTCTATGGAATTGAGGACCAGGATTTTCTTCTACACCTTCTTGAAGTTGGCTTTCTGCCCGATCTTCGTGCTGCTGCTTCCTTAGATACGGTAAGGGTTTATGCCTGTTATTATTTCAGTTCTGTTATCTTACTGAACACTCAAATGTTTTCATTCCTGGAAAACATTTTTTATTTCTTCATGTTGTCTTCTGCATTTCTCAAATGCTGGATGAGGTGTCTGTTGCTGCTGAACTTTGAAAAGAAACAGTGAGAAAGCATTCTGCAGAATGATGATCACTTTATAAAGAGCCCCCATTGAAATCCCTATCCATAAAAGATGTGATGCTTTAACCAGGAGAATTTCTGAGCTTGCATTATAGTATCAAAATCAGATCAGCTGCCTATGAAGCATGTAACTGAGAGCCTCTTTCCACACATTTACAGAAAGTGTTCTTTTCCATTCATGTTAGTGACATCTACATTCATTTATTTAGGAAATCACTATTTTTTTTAATATATTTTTGTTTAGTTCCTCGTCAAAATTGCTAGCTTTTTTCCCTGGGTCTGATTTATGTCTAATTTTTCTTACCTGGCTTGGTCCAGAAAGATTGGATTTAGAGAGCTTATGTGGTGTCTAAGACATGGACTCTGATTTCCCTATAATTATGTGGCTGTTAAAGAAAGAGCAGGTGAGGATTTTTTTCTCACTTGGAACTTGAGCTTAATCGTAACACAAAAACATACTGAGATTTGTAAATGCTTAACAAAACACTCCAAAATCAGGTCATAACATTGAAGTCTGCAACTATGCCATCCTTTAATATAGTCTTGAAAATTGTTTTGCTTTCGAATGGTGATCTTTAGTGTTAATGTTTTCATTAATTTAAAACAAAACAAAAGCCATCTGCGAGACTTCAGAAACAGGAAAACAAGGAAGGCATCCAGCTACCAGTTTGTATCAAATCCTCATTTGTGTGTTTTGGAAATTTCACTCTTTATAACTACCACAAAAACAAACCAAACAAGTTTATTTTTCATCTGTAACAACACCAATAAGACAAATCTAACTTCTGTCCCATCTAATCCATAGGCTGCTTTAAGTGCTACGGATATGGCTTTGGCTCTGAATCGATACCTTTGCACTGCAGTCTTGCCTCTGTTGACCAGATGTGCTCCTCTCTTTGCGGGCACAGAACACCATGCTTCCCTCATTGATTCCTTATTACATACGGTGTACAGACTCTCAAAGGGATGTTCTCTTACCAAAGCTCAGCGAGATTCTATTGAAGAGTGTTTGCTGTCTATCTGTGGGTAAGAACATATTCCTGGCTGGACAGGAATGCTAATTGATAGAGTAACTATGATATTTATAATACAGAAATGCAGAACTATGCCACCAGTAGCATAATTAAGATTTCTTTTTTTCTGGCAGATGATTGTGATATTTTTAAATACACTGTATTCAGTTTGCAACTTATTAATAACTCAATTATTTCTCTGTCATTGAGTTTTTAAAATTAAAACCTTGGTAATTAACTAAGAGAGCATACTGCAAAAAGACAAAGCTTTAGAAACACTGAATTGTGCATACACTGCAGTGCCATTTAAAAACTTTTAGCTGTACAGATTAACAGTATGGCTCATGATGAGTAGATTATACCATTCTGTGGTGATGTTTCTGTTGTGTTATATTTGAAATCCTAATCAATGACTAGTACTGTTATACCTCATTATTGACACGTATGGGAGAAATTTTGTCTGGGTATATGCAGTCTCAAAACCAGTTGATTATTAACAGTTTTTTTTAATAAGCATACAAGCTCAATTTGACTAGTCACATACGAATTTATTTCTAATTAAAGTTAGCAATATTTAGGTCTTCAAATCACCAGACTTGTTTTTAATATTTCACCATAATTCTTTTGCATAATGTAGAAATGTGTTTAGAAATGACAGACAATTATACTACAGTACTGTAAAAAAACTACTATATAGAATTTCTTTATAAAATATATTACATTGACCATTTTATATTTATATTCAGTTGATAAGATCCAATATAATGGACCAATATAAAATATATTATATTTGCTATTTATCTGGAAAGGTTTAGTGCCCACATCATTCTAACATACATGGTATACCTATTTCTTCCATCCTTCAAGTTGGTACCCACTGCTGCATGTCTTCTTTAGTACTTAAGTTAGTGTTCTTATGTCTTAGTTTCTAGGATATTTTTAAGAGCCATTGAGATATATTACAAGAAATTATTTTTATAGCCTTTACTCATGGGCATGTTGATCATAATATACAATATCAAAATTCAATTTTTTTTCCTGATTTTTTTTTTTTTGTCTATAGATACTTTTTCTGCTTCGTTAAAGCATTTATTTTTCAACTTGTTCAGCAAGTTTCCTTTGCTATGCAATTGTTTACTTTCTTCTGGACACATTATTTAGTGCCACAAGCGAAATCCTATTACTTTATGAATTTGAAGAATTTGAATGGCATAGAACTGAGAAGTTGCTTTAAGGTACTTACTAATTATTTACATGACATTATGCTGGTACACCCCTTTGAAATGGTTTGTCTACTTTCAGGCAGTTGAGGCCTTCCATGATGCAGCATTTGCTGAGAAGATTAGTATTTGATGTTCCTCTATTAAATGAACATGCAAAGATGCCTCTGAAGGTAAAAGTGTATTTTAATATTCAGCAGCATTCCTTGTAACAAAATGAAACAGAAAATCCTTGCATGGAGAATATTCTCTTTGTTACCTTATCTCCACTCTGAAATAATTTAAGACCATAATCTTAAAGATAAATAGACAAATTGCTGCTTTGACAGGAATTTGGTCTAATTTACTGAATTAGACTGAATTCCTGCCAGAATTCAGAAAGTGCCAGTCAAACTGGAGATGCTGGAACAGCCATTCTTTAGGATCCATGTGTGAGAAAAGCAGTTGATAATTTAGTATACTGCCCTGAAGAGGACCTTCTAATGCATTATGTCATTCTGTGTGCTTCAAATACCAAATAGTAACTTGGTGCTACCTGCATGGCTAAGGGTCTTCAGGTTTCTTGCAGGGGAAAGAGCTGCTTATCTAGGACAGCAGGTTTTTTGATCCTGAAGGTCATGACTTCCATGAGTTTCCCATATTGCTGAACTGAACAGGAAGGAAATGAACCATGGTGTTAACATGGGCAAATGATTTTGTCTGCTGACACCTAGACTACTAATAGGAGCTTCTGAGGAAAGTAAACTTTATCTCAAGATAGAACTAGAACTTTCCAAAGGTTTCACTTATAGTAATTCAGTGATTACTGAAAATCCTGCTTATATCACCTAATGTGTTTCTGATTTGAAAGTACCAGGCATATTCATTATAGACTTGTGCAGGCAAACAGGTTATAGTAGTCTAAAGAGACAGCTGCAAGTGAATCATGAATCTGAAAATGTAATTTGAATGGAAAGAGAAGAGGAAATAATGAAGGCGAAACCAGAATTGAGTGCGATCTTCTGTGAATACCTTTCCTGGCTTCTACAATTAATATAACATCAGTTTAGGCAACATATGAATTCAGGTCTGTGATGCTTTTCCTGTATAACTTGGTGTGAACTTTCTGGGATAGAGCTGCCTTGTTTTTATTCTCTCATAAATTATGTTCAGTGCTTCATCAGGGACTTCTGTAAGTGTAAACCTGCCTTTAGTCTTGGCTAGATTTAAAAATATATACAAATATATTAGGACTCACACATTGTCCAAAAGCAAACCTGAACTCTGGCCATTGTAGAATAGAATGTATTTGGAAAAAAAAAATGTTTTCAGATGCATCTTAGACTCTTTCAGTTAGTAATTCTAAGATACCTGTGGTTCTCCATGAATGATAAAACTTCTGGTTTTTTCACATTATCTATGCATATAAGTTCTTCTTTCCCTTTATTCTTTAATCATTTGACAATTTAAATATTGAATAGAAAATAACAGATTATTTAAATCTGAAGATGTACAAATGCGTTCTATAGGTTGTTTTTCTGATCCGCGAAAATGATAACAGGACTGCGTAGTATTGAGGTTATATTTTTGATATTCAAAATCCTCAGTTCAAATCAACTTTTTTTAATGCCTGTCTTTATTTCTGCACATTTATGCTATTAATATATGCATTTTTCCATGCATTGGTATTTGCTTTGACTAGAAAAAAGGGAATCCTGTCAGCTCTTTACTGACTTTGACTTGTAATATTTTGCCAACATGCTTTGCATAGTGCTGTTGAAAAAAATGATATTTTTCTCTGAGGAACTGTTAAAATGAACTCTGAATTAAAATTCCAGCTATAGTTTATAGAAGGCTCATTTTGTGCCTTAAGAAAATCTGCCCCTAAGTAGGACTAGTTTTTTCATACTTCTCTATTGCCAGACATTTGTTCTTTGGGATTGCCTTTACTGACAGATGTAGAATTTCTCCTCTTCTTGTCCACGACTCTGTGATATAGAGAACAAATTAAGTGCAAAATTTGTGATGTTTCACTTTGGCAAATACCCAATAACTGGTCCTTCTGTCATTTGAGTTCCTGATAATCTGGAATCTTCTAACCGCTTAAGAAGAAAGTATCCCTGAAATATGTATTTAATGAATGAGAAGAAGAGAGGATAAAGCTCCTCTACCAGTTGTAATTGAGGTCAGGAGGGTAGTCTCGTGGGTTTTACAGCTCACAGAAGAGATAAGTCACACTGGGAGTTTTTGTTGAATAGCTCTGACATGTAAATAATAATTGTGAACTTGGTGAAATCATGGTTCTATTATTTTACCCACTGTCATGGCTTAGGCCCAGCTGGCAACAAAAGACCATGCCGGTCATTCGCTCACTCCTTTCTGTGATGGGATGGGGAGGAGAAAATACAAGGAAAGGCTCGTGGGTGGAGACAGGGGTAGGGAGGGATCACTCACCAGTTATGGTCACAGGAAAAACAGACTCCACTTGGGGGGAAAAATCATTATTTTATTATCAATCAAATCGGAGTAGGATAAGGAGAGATAAAACCACCCAAATCTTAACAACACCTCCCCCCCACCCCTCCCTTCTTCCCAGGCTCAGCTTTGCTCCAGGTTTCTCTACCTACTCCCCACCAGCAGCACAGGGGCACAGGGAATGGGGGCTGTGGTCAGTCCATCACACGTTGTCTCTGCTGCTCCTTCCTCCTCGGGAGGAGGCCCTTTTCCAGCATAAGCCCGTCCAGCAAGCTGCAGTTCTTCACAAACTGCTGCAGCATGGTTCCCTTCCATGGATTTGCAGCCTCCTCAGCGTGGGAATCCCATGGAGTCATGGGTTCTTCAGGCACAGCTGTCTGCTCTGGCGTGGGGCCCTCCCTGGCCTGAGGGCAGGTCTCTGCTCTCCCCTGACCCTCCATGGCTGCAGGGGCACAGCCTGCCCCTCTCTCCATAGGCTGATGGGGACCTCTGCTCCGGTCAGCTCCTCTCATCTTTCCTCACTGACCTGTGTGACTACCTGGTTGTCTTTCTCACACCCCACTC